ATTTCCGTATTACAAATTAAACTGCATAATTTCAAACTTATTCCAAAACTTAATGAACTTTTTTATCATATTTTTATTCTATATGAATTATGACCTTGCGATTTGTCCAGTTCTTTAATACCAGCATGTATTCAAAATTTTCTAAAAAAGTCTTATTATTATATAATGTATCACAAAAAAATTAAATTTTAGTCTTGAGTTTAAAAAAAATGCTTAAATATGCATAAACTATTTTTATATCTATTATTGAGGTTAAAGGTTCCTTAAAAGAAATATAAAAAGATTTACTGCCACTAGACGCCCCTTTGGAAAATATACAAGGTGGCGCTTTAGTGCGAGAAGGTCCAATATCGTCGTTGTTGACAAAGATATGAAAAAAAAAGTTCTATACAGTTGTTGTATGGTGTAAAATGGTGTATATTCTAAAAAATATTTTTTTGCGTACAGAGTGTCCCAAAAAAGTTATGATCAAGCTTTAACTACAATCCCAATTTTTCTGTGCATAATTGGATGCAGCATATAAAGTTTTGCATATAGTACCTCATAAATTTATAGACACTCTGTATGAGGTAGTAGTATTTTTATTATTGTAACACAAAATCTAGTAAATACAAAAAGTAAAAACTAAAAATTTAATAATATACAGGGTGCTCCATTTAAAGAAATACAGCTTTGATATTTTTTACTTATTTGGGACACTCTGTACGCTTTGCAAATAATTTTAAAGTGTAGGTGGATCATCAACAATCCCATCACTCAAAATTTCCACAAATCTAGTCATTTGGCTACAATACTCCATGTCGAATAGCGTGAACAACTCTGTATATTTTTTAACTTATAGCTAATGTCAGGCAATTTTTCTACTAAAAAATAAATATGACGAATGAAATCTTGTTAGTTAGTGGTCAAAGTTAATAGTATAAGAAAAATCTCACAAGTAAGTTTGTAAAAATCATCCATGCAATTAGGAAATACTTGTGGAGATACTGTATTTAGTATTATATAAAAGCCGCCATCTTTAGTTCTTGGAAAAATCAAATTAGAGACTAAAATTAAATACTTAATGGTCATTTTTCTTAACAAAAATCAAAATTATCCAAATTAGACTAATAGTTCTAAAACAAAAGCAAATGTCCATATTTCCGTATACCTCGATCCACTGACCCACTGTGCGCCGCGCCGGCGCCGTAGTGACTATATACTTATATGTTTCTAGGTGCGCGACGATTTGATTGGCTCCAATTCGTTTTGATGCATAAATTTGTCCTAAAATGCATAACTATAGTCACTACGGCGAGGTAAAATGTATGTTTTTACTAGTAGAACTCAAGAACCTAGAACACTCCATCCGTAACCTGGTAGGGGATTCCTTAACGGTCTAAGACACTCAAAGAAATTTCTCAGGGCTTACGACCGAGATCTACGTAAGAACACTCTTTGAATTTTCACACGGTTCTTAACAGGATGCTGTCTCCTCAATGAATTCAGTAGATTGAAGCTAAGAAACAAAGGTACGACTGATATCGGAGATGGAGAACTAACCTCTGTAAAATCATTATACCGTCTCAGATCTTTGACAAAAGCCAGTATTTGAGACGGTATAATGAGTTCTATTTCAAGAATATATAATATTATGGTATACGCACTCGTATCCACTGCCAATCGGCTGGGTTTTCCTCTTGGGAATGGCACACTGCTGGTGCTTTTCTCAAGACAAAAAAGAGGAAAGATTGCTACCGCAATGTTGGCCCTTGATGAGGATAAACGATAAAAGCCCAGCCAGGTGCCGATTTGGTAGACGGGTCGCTTTGCATAACAATCACCAGTTAAGTAGGCTTCGCTTCTGCCTTCTACTTTATTACCGGGGTATATTAGAAAGCACTCATAATGGAAATGACATTTTAATGGTTTCAGTAGGAGCTTTAATCTCGCGCTCGACCTCAAATATAAATGAATTTTTAGCAAACGGGCTTTTCTCTGTTAGGTTTGATATTTCACCTTAAGACGCGGCCAAACCTATTAATCAAGGCTTTCAGAGACGGCTACTTTTATATTTAATAACGACCCTATCTGTCGAAGCTTTTCGTCTTTTTTTCCTATGCACATTTACGTTAATTAATTAGGCCAAACGTATATTAAAGTAATTAACCCAACCTAAAGCCCCATCTACACATAACGTTTTACCTGTTCAGTCAAAACGTGTTAACTAAAACTTTGTGTGTAGACCAAAGGTGTAGACGAAAAGACAGCCTGTTTTACTTGAACTGTTTTTTTTTTCATTTTTGAAAAGCGGCTTTTAAAAATCTAATAGTTTTGCATACTTTTACAAAATAATGTAATTTTACAAAATTGTATAGTAATGATTATTACCAACCGATACTATTTTCATAATTAGCATTGCGTGCTTATAAACAAAATTTAAACCATAAATAAAATTTTGCAGTAAAATTCAATGTTTTTTCTTTTCAACTACAATAAAGACATACTATAATGGATAAAACCTCAGTATGTACTCTAGTTCTCAATCAGTCTTACCTGACACCTAGAACGGACGGTTTTTCCATTTTACCTGAAAGGTAAAACGTTACGTGCAGACGAGACTTTACCTATTAAGGTACTATAGTATGTGATATTTTAGTTTATCGTCTTCCTTCCATTAATTGATATATTAGGCAGTTTATTCTAAATAAAAGATTATAGCGCTAGTTTTACTTTGTCAGTGATAAAAACACACAAGGTTAAGAGACTTGAAGAATTTACAAAATATTTAACAAATTTAATTCGATTAAATAATTAAAATTTTCTTATATTATCTGAAAATTTTACAGAAAATAAAAACAATTAGTGAGCCTGAGAGGGCGAAGCCGCTCTGGGCTCAGCCACGCAGATCGAGAAGTTATTCGGTCAAGATTAAGTGTAATGGGAAAGGAAAAATAAATGGAAGAAGAGCCGGGACAAAAGTAAGAGGATAAAGGGATAAGATAAATATTTATTATTTGTCTAATTGTACAAGGTTAATGCCAGTGAATAGCTGGGATTTGTGCTGTAGCCATGCGACTCTTAAAATAGCCTCCCGGAAATTGAGAACGATTTTTCCATTCTAATCTGCGTTAAAAAGGCGCGTACAGTTTTTTAAGGCGCGATAAAAAATTAACGTCGAAGACGCAGCCAAAGCGAGCGGAGAAAATTGGCCTCGATCCCGATGTAATATCCCGGGGAACTATAGCGTACTTTTTGTTCTCGATATTCTCCATTCCCGAAGGTATTCGACTAAGTTCGGCTTTGAAGGGATTATTTAATTGCCTCTACCCAAATTTTCTTAATACGCTAGTTAGGCAGACTGCATAAAGGAGCCTCCCTTATACCTTTACTTCACCGTCTAATATTTCCTTAATACAGTCATTTTAGATCGATCAATTTTGCTATGGTAGATGGAAAACGGGCGTCCGCGTGTATAGTTTCCAGTTTAATACCAGGTAACGAATAGAAAACTTTCCAAGACGCTTTAAAAACTTCCCGTCGGAAGCCCTCAAGTTTTAGCAACTCTAGGCCGGCTTTAAGCCCAGTATTAGTGGACAATATTTATGCAATTACTAATTAAATAAAACGACCCCTAAAGAAAACAGGCCGTAATTTACGAGGATACTTTTTATTGCTGTTTAGATAATATTACATAAAAAATTTGATGAAAAAGTGCATGTCAAGATAATCGGAGAGTTCTGCAGTTCCTAGAAAAATAAACTGGCCGTATATTTTGTGTCGATAACGGACTTGCTCGGACTTTCGTATGCGATATTAGCTGTATCGCCATCCCAGTTGACATATCCTGAATTTAGTAGGGGGCTGTCTAGTTCCTTATTCCCTTACTGACCTCAGATTTGCATTGCTAAAACTGCTTCAAATATCGAACGGAATTTGCCTTATAGTATACAGGGTTCGGCAATAGTGCGTCGGGCATCTGTAGCTCCTGTAATAAAAAAATTAAGAATGTTGTATATGTGCAAACCTTAGCATGTATTAGAATGTATTTCAGGAAAATAATTTAACTTCTACAGGGTGACTCAAAAAAGTGTGAATGGATCGGGATGATTTTTTTTAACTTTTTTGGTTTTTTAGGTTTGAAAAAATATTAGAACACTCTGTGTATTATGCATTTTTGGCTTCCTTTTTGACCACTTTACATAATACTAAGATATTATTAAATTTGTTTTAATAGTTTCAGAAATATTAACAAATAAATTTTAAAAAAATGTTAAGGGATAACAATATTATCCCTTTATTAAAAAAATTATTAAAAATACATGAAATATCCTGAAATCAAAACTATACTAGGTATATATACTGGATATAAATATCGAAATCTTAAACCATACAGGGTGTTCAAAATTCTATGCCAAAATTTCTAAAATATATTTTTTTTTAAACGAGTTTTTTTTTAAACCAGAAACCCTGTATATTATATCTTTGTTAGATGGAGAATTAAAAAATTAATTTTTTATATTTTTTCGCAATATTTCGCATTTCGCAATATATTCGCAAATATTTCCATTTTTATTACATATGGCTCTTTCAACGGTAAAATATCAAACAAATATCATTAGATGATTTTCATAAAAAAATACTGTCGAAACACCCATCAAGGTAATATAACGAATATCCGCAAAACCGTTAAAAATTTTGAAATACTTTCAATACAAGAAATGTTCATTTTTTAATTCTCCATTTAACAAAAAAATAATATACAGGGTTTTTAATTTAAAAAAAAAACAAGAAAAACTATTTGAAGAAGAATGTTGAACACCCTGTATGGTATAAGATTACGATTATTTGCAGGAAAGTAAGTACAAACCAATTACAGTAAATACCAAGTACAGTTTTGATTTCAGGACATTTCTTGTATTTTTAATATTTTTTTTAGAAAAGTCTGAAAAAACATGTTTTTTATTTATTTATTAATATCTCTTAAACTATCAAAACATATTTAATAATATTTTTGGATTATGTAAAGTGATCAGAAAGGAATCCAAAAATGCAGTAATATACGGGGTAATCCATTTAAAAAAAATCATCGCGACCCTGTAAAAGTTAAAATATTTTCCTGAAATACATCCTAATACATACATTAAGTCTGCAGTTTGCACTCGAACAAAATTTCTATGTTTTTTATTATAGGAGCTACAGATGCCCGACGCACTATTGCCGAACCCTGTACCCTGTAGACTTTCTAAAATACTCAATCGTACACAATTCTGTTTGATAGTCTTTATTTCCATCGTGTCCGACTGTCTTACTCGAAGAAATCAATTTCCTGAGACGGTGCATTCAACAAAGTATTGTTCAAACTGGGTTATGTTCGCAATATAACAGACAGCCTGTTGATACTTTAATAGGCAAACGGTTTTGTTCTCCTATGCTTGCTAGAGAGTCTATCGCGAAAACTAGTGGCTATATGCATAATATGTTTTACCATTTGGCCTAAACCATAAATATGCGGGATACTCTATTTTAACGGACATATTTGTTCTATTGTCTAAAGTTCAGTTTCGGTCACATTTCTGTTGGCATTAGTGCCAGAAGGTGGGACATTATTTTCTAATAATGTTCGTTCTTCCTCGCCTCTATTGACACTTGCTTGAGTTTGATTAAGATCGTCCAGAGATTGTCCTGGAGATGCGCCATAGCGATTTATGGATGAGTTGTCTTCAAATATGCTTGCCATATCCGAAATGCTTTCTAATGGACTGTCCTGGTACAATTCTAGCCCATCTACGAAGAACACAAGAACGATAGAAAGCACTATCGCTAGTCCTATTAGTGCCAATGTCGAAGACAAAAGGAACCTTGTAAATAAGTCTGAATAGAATAAACATCTCTTTTCTCCTCTTATACCGCAAAAATTATCTGAAAAAAAAGTGTCACATTATAAATTGCAATTGCAGAGTAAGTCAACAATAGAGTAAAGTTCGTTATTTTATTTATATTGAGAATTATTAGAAAAATACATAGAAAAGTTTTAGGCTGCTATTACTCTATCAAATTTCTTTGTCAAAGATTTTATTTAGAATATATTTTATAAAGAATTTAACAGTGTAAAATATTACGTGATTTAATAAAATATTGTATATTAACACTGTCAAATTTTTCATAAAATATCTTCTATAGAAGATCTTTTTGACAAAGACATTTTTTGTGTAATACCCGAGAAAGTTAACATACACAATTAATAGTTATTTTTTATTTTTGAATATACAGGATGCTTTAAAAAAGTGTGGCTATAACAAAGGTATTTTTATATATAATATTATACAGGGTGGTCCGAATTGTACTCGGAAAACTTCAGCAGCATATTTTGCAGATAAAAATAAGTCAAAAAATTCATATAAATTTATGGTTCATTTGGGAGATACAGGGTGTAGAAGTTTCATTTTTATTTCGGTCTTTCCTAAATAATGTCTGAACTAATATCGATATTTGGATGAAAATTGGTGTCTGGGTATTTTTTACATGAGTATATGTCTTGTTGTAAAGGGTGCCGCCTCCGTGCTTTTATTAAACTACTGCGTGAAAAAATATACAATTTCGTCATTTTTTCCAAACCCTCCTATCCAATTTGAGTACCCCAACTTCACAAAAAATAGCACCACGGACAATTTTTAACATATCCCATTTTTTTCAAAGAAATTGGAATATTAAAAAACTAGTATTTATTTATTTTAGGTATATAATATAATCTTTTACGCAGAATCCAAAAATGTTAAATGTATTACATTAAAAAAAATATGTTAAATACGCATACCGAAAAGTAATTTTATATTGTGTATCTTAACCTTCCCTGTAACTTTTCTATTTAACATTTTTTCGAAATTCTCGAAACAACCGAGACAATGAACTTTACTCTATAGTTGACTCACCCTGTATATATTTAAACCATCAATTTACTTGCTGCAATGGAATAAAGGGTCCGTAATATTAAAGAAATATGTCCTAGAACTGCAAAGTAGAAGCCAGTGGCTAGGGCTTTATCTCTACTTGAAATGCATCTCAGTGTAATGAGTAAGGTGGAGATGAAGGTACTGGCAAAAAGACCTGATGATGTGACGCTATTTACTTGTTCGATTACCCACAAAATATTACATTTCTCTTGGTCGCAGGAAGCAGGGAGAGCAGTATTATTTCCATTTCCACATTGACAATTATCGTATAACTAAAAGGATAATGAAAAATAGTTGGCTATACTTTAATATCTAATATATATCGTATGTACCTTTAAGTTAGCATTGAATTGAGTACAGCCAGCTAAACAGGGCGAAAAATAAGTCTCGCCATTAAGACATACAGGTTGAAAGTAAGCATCCAAAGTGCACAAACAATTCAGAGTGCAGTGGGAATATCCCAGCCTGTCCGAATAGTGTGTTTTTATATCCGTCGAACAATTAATAAAACCTGTAGATGCAAATCCCAACAAAACCACAGTAAAAACTATTATATTCCATTTGACTAAACTGGTAGATTTTGGTTTGGTGTACACAATGACCAATCCCGTGATGCCATAGCAAGTAGCTATCATGGGATGCTTCAAGAGGTTAGTGGTCAGTTGCACCAGCATGGGGTCGCTATATCCAGACAGATCTTTTGTTTTGGGCATGTGATATTTGGTCTGGTTGAAGTACTTCTCCAAAGCGGCGAAGCTTGTGAGAGCTGCTTCCATTAAGGCTATTATCAGCACGTTTAAGACAAGAGTTTTGTTTTTTAGCAGGCGGCGGATACTATTAAAAAAGCCTGAAAATGAGGCGTTTATTTTAAAACATTTTTAGTTAGAGCATTTTCTTACCGTCTGTATGTTGCATATTATCATTGTCCACGTTACTATTTCTTTTAGCGATATTTAGCAAAGACATTACAGATTTTTTTAAAAGAAGATTTGGTAACATTCTAGGAAACAGGCTTACAAGAATACCAATTACAAAAGTCAGTGCACTAATTGTCAACCAAACTAAAAATGATTTTGTACATGAAATAACTTCTAATATGTATTTAGACCGAGTTACCTGGTGAAACAAATATATTTTGGTGATGAAAAATATACGGAATCCAAGAAGCATATAATCCTGCTTGGTTACCAACAGATCTTGCTGCTAATAGAAGTGCTGAAATATGCATAGAATTAGATTTAAGTAAGTTAATAATACATGTATCTTCGTGGCGCGCATATTTCTTGAAAATAACTTGGATAATAAGAGGAATGTAAAAAATAAAAGACTTTTTCAAGGAAAGATTTGTCATTACAGTAGACTCTGGATTATCCTACTTGAGTTATACCGCCGCTGAAATTAGCGGCGAAGCTTCCATTGATGCGGACGATGCGTCAGATCCCTTCAAAATATTGTAATACGTTTTTATTTTAAAAATGTTACAAAATTAACTTCGGTGTTGACATTTAGTATTAAATAATACATATTAAAAAATATATAAAAAATAAAATTAAAGCTAATCGAGAATCTACTGTAATTAGAATTTTTATCTTACCAATATGTTTGGCACTTGTAGCAAATAAATGATCATCGATATACGTTATTCCGTGAGTTAGTAGTGAAATTGTGCACAGGGAATATGCCATTTGATATACAATAAAACATATATATGCTGTAATCTCGTTGTTGGCATTATTATTCACAGCAAAATTATCAACCGAATCCTTGTTAAGGTCTTGTTTACACAGCATTTCATCTAAAAAGTAACTATGAATAACATTTAACCATATCCACTGATTCAACTGTACCTTGTATGCTAGTTATGTTGGTTTCTTCGGATTTAAACGGTTGATAAATCTCTGGGATTATTAGCGAAAAAGCGGCAACCGCTAAGTATATAATCAATGTTCCGAGCCATTTGGGTCTATGATTTTTGTTACCCCAGTGGGACCAACCTAAAGCAACTGCCCCAATCAAGATATCATTTATGTACGACAATATATCTGAAATAAAAAACATTAAAATAAGACAGTGTATGACACAGCATGGGAAACGTTAAAATACCTATGAAACTTTCTGATATATGATAGTGGCTACACCATAATGATAATGTGCCATTGAAATATTGAGCTAGAGCTCCGTGAATAAAATGCGCAAAGCATAATACTCCGACAAAAAACTCGGGTTTAGCGTACCTCTGTAACTTGAGTCTATCGGTCAAACAAGGCAAAATCATACAGCCGCAATCTATTTCATCTCCGTAGTCAGCTAAAGGAGCGGTGAAACCCGGATCTCTTTCAGAATTTGATCTTAAAAGTTCGCTTGGATGCACCATCATTTAATTTTGGTTATTCATTCAACACTCCCTGAAAAAAATAACATTCTAACTAGACTTTATTGTATCCATACCATTCATTACTCAAGCCCAATAAATCACCTAAGATAAGATATAAATGATACCTTATCAGGATGTTTCGTTTGATGCATAGGAAAAGAAGAAATATCAAGTAATTATGAACCACATTTGTAACAATTTTTAATTTTTATTACAGTTACATTAAAGAGTGTTTTATTCCATTTTTAGACAAAATAAATTCAAAGCTTTTGGCGCGTTTACTTCAATACGTTTGTATTTAGAGTTGCCTATGTCGCTACGCTTAACTTATCAACGTGGCGTAAAGATGGCACTATCATTATGTTTTAAATACATTTGTAAAACGCTAATACAAAATTCAACTTTCCGGATTATTTGCCGTTATCTGTTAACATTAAAAATATAGCATGTGTAATATAAGGGCATTGTTATCTCACCCGCATTGTTGTAAGACTAGGCTTTCTCGATGTTTTCAATAAAAAATTATTACAAATTCAGTAGTAAATTAACGCTCGAATGAGGTGTTTAGAATGAATCTCTGGATTACAAAAGGAGGTAATTTTAGGATACTAATATTATTTTATAAATTATTTTTAAATATATTCAATTTCAGTCACATTTTGCCTCCACCAAAGTTCTAAAAATGTATCTATGCGTTTTCGCGCGCTACTTTTACGGATTTTATTTTTAAGCATACTGTGTACGTTAAGTTCAGCCGATTTCTTAGAACAGCGTGGACAACTAACTACAGCTACGACTATTCATCCCTTTAATTTGGGGTTTTATAGCAAACCCTCAAGTATTGAATCAGGCAGAATCACCATAAAACGATCTGCACCTTCAAAATATTACTCAGCCTACAGACGACTCAAATATAAGCCACGAAGAACGTTTCCTTTTGAATATTTCGATTATGATTACGACTATTGGTTGCCCCCAAGACTAAGAGACAGAGTACGAAATCGCGTTAGAAGACCGACAGGTTTTGAGGACGTCAATTATTATGAATATGATGAAGGATTCAGACCTCATAAATGGAAAGGACAAAGAAAGGGTAATAGAAATTCAAATAAAAAAGGGTCAAGTTTTTATAGCGATGAAGATTTAAGCGAGGAAGTAGAGAGGGTTACCCCGATCATTAAACCCAGGCAACGACAAACTACCACGGCCACCACCACCGAAGAACCAACAACTCTGCCTAGTATGGCCAACGTCACTAACGCCACCACTTCTAGTACTACAGCTACGCCAAGCACGACTCTCTCGTCTGGATATGGTGTGGAACATGTTTATTACTGTTATTTTTTTCAATATTATAACCTGAACGTTTTTAGGCTATGGACCCAGCTCCAACGTGAATGTTAGCATAACTTATGGTCCACCCTCCATTCCCAAACCTCTATATGGTATTCCAGGTGCCTCACCAGGAGCTCCTATAGGGTCCTGGGTACCCAGTTTCGGTTCTAGTTTGTCCTATCCAGCCGATTCTAGCTATTATTTTCACCCTTCAAATGATCGACCAATCAGGCCCTCCCATAAAGACTACACTGTCCACAATGCTGATAATTCTTATAAAACACATTACCAGATACCCCATCAGACTAGTTATCAATTATCAGGGTTTGATTCCGGACCGCCAAACAGCTATAGCTTCTCTTCGAAGGCTCACTCAGGAAGGTATCATAATTATCATTTGGACAATGATTGGCTCAAACAGACAAAAACGGAAAAGCATCTGGATAACCAGTATCTACAGAGCCACATTATATGATTTGAACGAGTATTTTTATTTTCATTGAAACTATACTTCACTGTAAAACAGGTGCTGGCTATTATTCGTCTATCACAAATAAATATTTTAATTCTTCACTTTTGTCTCAACATCTAGCCCAGTCTAAGTATAGATTAAGAAAGCTGAATATACAGGGTAAGTACGTTTGTTTTGAGAAGCGCGCAAAAATGATAAATCAAAAAAATCCGGGGAAGTTTAAGATATACAATTTAATATTATTTTTGTGTATCGTGTTTTATAGAAGTGTAGCGAATATAACATATTTATATGCTTTTTTAAGTAACGCACTATTTATTATTTTAATTTTAGATTGTACGTAAAATTTAGTAACTTTTTTATATATAATATTGAATACCTAAAATTAGTACTTTACAATAGTTTAATTTCTTTAAAAAAATGTCAAATTCTGTTTTTGTGGGTCCGCCAACTGTAAACCAGCCAAATTAGTTGTTTATTTCAATTATTTTCTTTACATATTTTAAACACGTAACAATTAACCACCAATTAACACTATCTGAGCATACGAAATATAAACACGGAAAGAAACTTTTATTTTTGTGGTATATTATAAAAAATTAAAGCTATAAAAGCGCAAATGGACGGTTTCCCGCTGATGTGAAAAAAGATATCGGTAAATTACAAGGACAGGAAAGAATGTATGTCCCTCATTATATTCATAAATTATCGTTAGTTCATATATATATATATATCGGTCACACACGCAGTCAAATATAATTTATAGAGAATTTAATACTGATAGAAATGTAAAACTTTGAACTTGTCCAGAACCAGTAGACCTAAATATCTATATTATTAAAAAAAAGTCAACGCTTAGTCGCAATGAGTATAAACTTTAGGCCGGCTGACAAAAATAATAAAAAAAAACATAATTGTGCGTAGATAATATAAGGGTGCATATGGGGAGGGTGCCATGCCAGGTGTGCTCTATGAAGACTCGCTAAGTGTAGCAACTCGTACACGGGGTAGAATCACATAGCCGTAGGTACGGTAGTTTTGTTGGGAAATATTTAAATGGAAAATTTAAAAAATCATTCAAAACTACCGAGGTGACTGTTAATTTTAACCTGGCGCGGATACTTTTTCCCGTGCATCTGAAGGTCTACAAATCGGTAACAGCTGAAAAAAGACACGAGCGTAACATTTCGAAAAACGACGCTAGGTATATAAATTTAATATCGCGCTTATCGCGGACCTCCGATAAAAATAAAAGATGAGAATAAATAGAAATCGGGACGCGGTTTACAGACTGAACACATGGGACCGACGAAAAGACAGTTGGGCGAGAAAACGTGTGCTAATGATGGAGTTTATTTTGAGACACATTTAAAACATATTATTTTCTAAATTAAGATCGCGAAGACCCCCGATTGAGGTTGTTCTTTTCGCGTGTTTTATTTTGCTAAAACGTACACACGGCCAGTGGGCGTTTTGCACGTTGCAAAGCAAAGTTGCTTTAGGCTTATTTTAGGCGATTATTGATTTATAAATCGACCAACTGCTAGGAGGGAGTTCCGGCTAGCCGGTGGACGGCTACTGCAATAAGATGCATCTAGTGGTAACGGAATGGTACTGGATGCATTCCTAGTGAAGAATAAGGAGTATGAGCGACGAGTGAACACGACGACTTGCATTCCGACAAAACGCGCGACGTGGACTCGGAAATTGGTCGCCTAAAAATAAATTGCGTTTGAGCTAAAAAGGGAGCGGCGCGGCGCGCCGCTGGCAGCACCGCGTCTAGGGGGTTACGTACTACTGTCCCGAGCTGCTGGCACAAGCAGGGGGCGCGCGGCCGACTACCGGGATCCTCACATTCGCATTCGAGCAGCCGAGCCGCTTGTGACACGTCGTACGTTGACAACCGTGTCCGCAATTGTGTTCGTCCCCGTCGCTGGCCCTTGCCCATAGCCCTACGAGCGCTCGTCATCGTCGTCCAGTCGCGATTCGGCCAGTGGCTCGGCGCGTGCACGCCGCCCCCTCGCGGGAAGTTTATGTCCCACTTTCCAAGACCTGCTCCCCTATGCGAGATCGCCGGAGTAACTTCACCAAGGAGTACATAAACAACATCGTCAACCCCCTGGGAAGTCGGCCCGCCAGACCCACGGAGATCGCGCGCGCCAACGAAGAGCGCGCGGCCGCTGCCTTAGAGCCCGCTGAAGAACCCGCCAAGGTAAGTGGAGGCCGCAGGCCGAGGTCCGCTCTAAACGCCGCACTTTCTCTTTGTAGACCATGCTGATGCCGAGCGCGGGCCTAGCCTCGCCGGACACCGACACCCTGGGCCTCACAGGCCTGGGGGTCATCAGTGCCGGCGCCACCCTCAACGGTACCGCCGTTCAGAACAAGGACACTACATGGACCAAGCTGTTCGTCGGCGGCCTGCCCTACCACACAAGCGACAAGTCCTTGCGGGATCATTTTGCCGTGTACGGCGATATAGAGGAGGCTGTTGTCATTACTGACCGCCAGACTGCTAAGAGCCGGGGGTATGGATTTGTAAGTATGCCGCTATGTCTTGATGTCTTTCAGGCTGCGCCGCGGCCTCCCCTTCGTTTCGCTTCCCCGAACCGATAACAGTAGAAGGCTCTTATCAAGGTACTGTTGTCGGTATTCGTTCTGGGTACTAATAACGTGTTACGACTTTCTTATCTAAAGTTTATGTCGCTAAACACCGACTAGGTAGTACTTGTTCTATTTATAAACAGTCGCGCGGGGAGATAATTTCTTTGTTAACATTTTTCGTTGGTCGCCTATCAAAGGCATGCTCAAAACACATGCGGCCAACATTTTTTATTGCTAAGGGCGCGTTGAATTGGTCGGGGGTGGACGTTACTATTGTGTTGGTAGGTCGGTACCAGATGTTCCGACCGTTGTTCATAAAAATAGAAAGCGATGCCAGGGGCACTAGCGCCAATAAGAAGGTTGCTCTATTGCAATCCGCTCCATAACGGCTGTTGTGTAGCTTTAAAAAAAAACTATCTTACTTCGGTCGCAAAAACAGATATATTTATAAATAAAAGTTGAGGCGTCATTTTTAAAATGTGTTTTCAGTTGGCTCGAAAATATATTCGAGTGCGTTTAAATTGGCGTTCACGAAAAAATCGACCGTCGACCGTACCAAAGTGACCCTTCCAGCTGAAGGTACGACGCGACCTAGGTAGTCGGGGTGAATGAAACGAACAGATGTTGATTTCAGAAAGGGGACCCTAACGGTATTCTGAAATATTATTCTATTGCGTGATTTTTTACGTCAACTGCTGCGAGCGATCCTCTTTTCATTCGGCGGAGGCCTATATATGTTTCAACGGTTCCTCTTAATTATTCCAGGTTATTATGGGAGACAGGGCGTCGGCAGAAAGAGCGTGTAAAGAACCAAATCCAATAATAGACGGAAGAAAGGCCAACGTGAACTTAGCTATTCTGGGAGCCAAACCCAGAGGAAATGTAACTACCAGTGAGTATTATTTTTTTTGCCTCTCTCGGTTTGTTTCACAACGTAGATACTATTTTAACTATTTCGAATACTATTATGATGTGAAGGGTAAGCGAAGAAACCAACGATGGCCATTTTGTAGGAATTTTAAAGTAATCAAATTAATCTGTCGAGAATAGGCAAGTCCCAGATACATGCTAAATTGTCACTGAATATAACAAACGATGTCCCAATAATAACGCATAAATAATTTTTTGTGTCTCTGAAAAAGTATGTTTTGTGATATCGTCTGTTTTTTCTCCTTACCCTTCAAGTATTTTTTGTATTGCATCTTGCTGATAAACAGGGTATTTCGAAATGCTAAAAATAACCTTTTAAATTACGTCTCAATAAATATTTCTTACTAAATTAACGTCATGTAGTTCGGGACACCCTGTATATTTAATAGCTATTTGTATATATGTGTTTTGCCTGGCGACGTGTAGTTTACTTCAAAAAATTGATTTGAACAGATACCAACTGTTTTTATTACCTACGTGTTTCACGCAGATTTTTTTTCGACCGATTTACGACAAATATGTACTATATACAGGGTGGTCCGAACTGTATTCCGGAAACTTCGGCAGCATATTCTGCAGATAAAAATAAGTAAAAAAGTTTGTATAAATGTATGTCCTAAAATGCGTAGTTTCGGGATACAGGGTGTTAAAGTTTCATTTTTATTTCGATTTTTTCCAAATAATTTCTGAAATAACGTCAATATTTGGATGAAAATTTGGTATATGGGGGTTTTTTGACATGAAAAATTTGATTTTGATATCAATATGACTCCTACGTGTAGAGGGCGCCACCTACATGCGTTTTAACTGTTTTGAAGAGTAATAACTTTTCGTCCGCACCTGTATAAAACTACTGAATAAAAAATTATACATTTACGACGTTTCTTACGTAGAAAAAGTATCTTGGTAAAAATCGCTACGAGTAATAGTTCTCGAGATATTTGGAATCGAAATTATCAATACCTGTCATCATTGACATAAATTAAGTATGTTGGCTAAATAGTTATTAGACTGAAATCATAAATTTGAAATGTTTTTGTGCCAAAAGTTCAACCGACACTATTTTATTATCATTTCGAAGAAAAATTTATGATTAATTTAAAAAAATAAAATGTTTCGAAATTTATCAATTTAGTCAAATAACTATCTACTCAACATGTTTATTTTTTGTCAATAATGACATGTATTGACTGTAACTATTCTAAATATTGTAGTGCGACCTGGTTACCCCACAACTGTTCAAAGGGCGAACATGTGTTTGATTTTTCCCGTATTGGAATGAGACATCACAATATCTTGAGAACGGTTGCTCGTAGCGATTTTACCAAGAGACATTTTTTACGTAAAAAATCACGGAAATGTATATTTTTTTACTCAGTGGTTTTATACAAGTACGAACAAAAAGTTATTACTCTTCAAAATAGTTAAAATACATGTAGGTGGCGCCCCCTACAAATTGGAGTCATATTGCCATCAAAATCAAATTTCTCATGTCAAAAAAACCCCAGATACCAATTTTTATCCAAATATTGACGTTACTTCCGAAATTATTTGGAAAAAATTAAAATAAAAATGAAACTTCTACACCCTGTATCTACGAAACTAAGCATTTTAGGACATACATTTATATGAACTTTTTTAGATATTTTTATCTGCAGAATATACTGTCGAAGTTTCCGGAATACAGTTCGAACCCTGTATATACCGGGTGCGTCTCAAAAGTGTCTCACCCCTCTAACTTTCTTATTTTTTCAAACAAAACAATTAGTATATGATATAAATTATTTATTCAATTATTTTTGGTCACTTTCTGTTTCACCGGAAATTACTACAACTTTTAATTTTTAAATGGCACCCTCGGTTTTTTTTTACTTTTTCATAGAAATGACACTCTCAATAGAATGACCTATAATATGTCAACTTTTGACATTTTCACATATGGTTTATTTGAAATTATAACATGCGGTTCATAACGACAATTGAATACCAAGTGTGTGGTATCAAATTATTCGTAAAAAAATGCCTTTGCCAAATATGTCAATGAGCCACCCTACAATATAGTAAACAACTACATAGAAATCAGACTGCACTGAACGATTTAAGGTATACAAAAGCACATAAAATAAGCAATAATCGATTTCGAAGCGATATCTCAAAATGGCGCTAAAACTTTGGTTTTTGATATATTTAAAGATATTTAAATATGCATGCTATAATAAACCAGAGAAATAAACTTTGCTGGTCTATTTTAAATATTTATGTTACATAAAAACTTCATTATTTCAAATGAAACTTCATTATTTCAAATTTCACTCTGATTTTTTTAAAACAAGTCCAAGCAGATTTAAATGCTCTTTCTAACTATATTAGGGTTTCCTATACCTATCTGCTTCAGATTTTGAATAAAGAGCGGTTTTTCAATAAAATGGCAACAACGAGCGCTAGTGTACTAAGGGCTAGTACAGTACGTCTGTCCGTTCTGTAGCTACGGGGTATCCGTGAGAGGGGAAACGATATTCTCTCCATGTTTTTCGTAAAAAATTAGACGACGCGTCCCATCAATAAAAATTCGACAAATTTGCAAGTAGCCAATACAATGAGTGGGCGGAGCGATTTGCGGTGACGTACTCGTAAAGTCGACGTATAAAATATATTGTTGTTTATTTAAATGTTTTTTGTCCGCATTCCTTTCATAGACACAGATCCAGCAGACGTAGTATACCTAGTAGTGACAATTAGTAGTAAATTTTCAAAATCGAAATTAGTTTATAGACATTAATTTAAATTTATGGTAGTTTACTTTTATTTAAATTACCTACAATAGTTGAATAAATTATTTATAAAATATTATTTACAAATATAAAAAATAAAGTATTTATTATTTTATCAAGAAAAACGAAGAAGTAGTTCTTTGCTATATTTTAGGATGACTTCACTTTCAGCAACAGGTTTCTGACTAACATATTTTTCATAAACCACACTATCAGCTCTGCGAAATAGGACAGTAGTTTTTCAAAGGAACGCTTATCGAGGAGGATTGCTATTTGGATATCTTTGTGCATAAATAAACCCTTCAGGCCAACAAGCAATTTTCCTCACAAAATAAAATCACTACTACTTACTTTATTGTAGGTAAATTAAATAAAAGTGAAGTGTTATAAAATTAAATAAAGTCCATAAACTAATGTCAATGAAAATATGAAAATAGCTACTGTCATTAGAAAATTGCCATGGCGACACGAGCCATTTTGATTACAATGCTATTAAAAAATAGTTTTTTATTCAAAATCTAAGCCATGAAACCCTAATGTAGTTTGAAAGAGCATTAAAATCTGCTTCTCTTTATTTAAAAAAATAGAGAGTGTTGCATTTGAAATAACAAAGTTTTTAAGTAAAATAAATATTATATATAAATAGATCAGTAATTTTTGGTACCCCTGTATACATTTAAGGAAGCAATGAATCCAAGAATTCAAAAATGAAATAAAATACCGGGTATTCCACCAGAAAAACAATTTTAAATTATGCACATTGGCACCTCCATTGGTGAGTCTTAAATAATTGCAAATATTTTTAGGGCTAGTATATTTCGACCCCAGAACCACGATTATGAGTTTTTTCGCGAAAAAAAAATTGTTTTTAGTTTTTAGTTAAAAAACATAATTTGTTGATAATATGGCAACATAGGTAGTACATTAAATTTACAAGAAAGAAAACCCAGAAAAGTTCCAGTAGTTCTCAAAATTTAAGCGAAAAATCTTTTTTTTTGGAAATTTTGAAAGTAAAATAACTCGGTTTTTTTAGACTTATTTGAAAAACGGTAAAGAGAAAATATGCTTCTTTTATCGAGATCTACCAGCCCTGAAAACATTTGCGCTTATTTAAGACTCACCCTGTATAAAGGTATTATCTCTGAAAAAGGGTATAGCCGGATTAATACTCACACCTAAATTTTTAGCTCTTTAACTCAAACGGTTTTCGAGATTTTCAAAAAACCTGTTTTTTCAAATTTATTTTTATTTTTGTAGTAAAATTCAAAATTAATTAATGATGATTTTTTTCTAATTCTTAGAAGTCTAAGACATGAAAAAATTAAATGATCGTGAATCTTAAGCAAAAAGCCGATTTTTAGAGGCGGAAAGAAAATTAAAATCTTCATTTTTTAACCTTTTTGAAATATATCACTCACTATAAATCATTAGAAAATGTCTTTTATACTTCTTTACACTCAGGAATTTTTTAGAATTTTTTGAAGTGGTGGAACAATATGAAAAAAATTAAAAACTCATTTTTATAATAATCTTTATGTTTATTCCTGGCAAGGATGAATTTTTAATGAAAAAATATTTTCTTCTCATTTTTTTAAATTAAACACAAATATAAGTTTTTAGAAAAAAAATAGTTTTTAATTTTTTCATATTGTTTCACCACTTCAAAAAATTCTAAAAAATTCCTGAGTGTAAAGAAGTATAAAAGACATTTTCTGACGATTTTTAGTGAGTGACATATTTCACAAAGATTAAAAAAATGAAGATTTTAATTTTCTTTCCTTGGCTAAAAATCGGGTTTTCGTTTAAGAATCATGATCATATTATTTTTCTATGTATTAGAAAAAAAATCATCATTAATTAATTTTGAATTTTACTATAAAAATAAAATTGAAAAAACAGTTTTTTTTTTGAAATCTCGAAAACCGTCTTAGTTAAAGAGCTAAACATGTAGGTGAATTATTTTGATTCGACACCAAATCGATCCCTTGAGTGCAAGTCAAAAAAAGCCGCGGGGCAGATTTCCCATATTAACCCGACAATACCCTTTATATCTTTATAGTCACAAGCAAAAAACGGCAAAAATTAAAATTTTTTACGTGTCTTAGCATTCTTTCAATATTCCGTCACGAAATATTGTTAGTAAACATCAAATTCGGATTCAGCGCAACATAAAAAAATAAATAAATCAGAACTACCCCAAAACTTTCCTCCGAAAAAATACAATTTGACTAGACTAAGTCGCCGTAGGACAAAAACGCTGCGAGCTAGAAAAAATGTTGGAAATGTAAATCGGCGGAAGTCTTTTGGCGCATATCCGGGTAGGCCGGAACCGGCGAGGGGTAAAGCGCCGGTACGCCACCCAACAATGCCTCGTGCCCCGTTCCGAACCAGTGGCTTGCGCCTCCTTTTGCCGCTCATACCACTGGTCTGCATGAAAGTCGGCCCTGACAACACCATTCTTGTCGATTCTCTTCAAATCACCTGAATCCAAATATAACCCCCCATTTTTGGCTATAAAACCCCCTACCTATTTTTACTGCCTTTCGATAGTTTCGTGGGATGAAAATGATTATTTTAGCCTCTACATTGTTATTTCTGGAGTACTAGAGACTACTTCACTTATTAGGGTTTCGTACCCCAAGGGTAAAAACGGGAACCCTATTACTAAGACTTCGCTGTCCGTCCGTCTGTCACAAAGCTCTATCTTATGAACCGTTATAGCGAGACAGTTGAAATTTTTACAGATAATGTATCTATGTTGCCGCTATAAGAACAAATACTAAAAACAGAATTAAATAAATGTTTATAAATAAAAAAGTACTTTCACTAAACATTATCTTTTAAGTAAGAATTTTACATAGAATCTTTCAAGTTCTCGGTGGCCGCGTGGTTTAAAGCGTTAGGACTTTACGCTGCTATGACGTTGGAGCCGTAGTAAGGCAGGTTCGAATCCTAGTTACGGCGACTTTTTTTTAATCGTTTTTTTTTTATTTTTACATATTTATTTTTACTTTTTACATATTTATTATTGATTAATACAATTTTTAGTAATGTGTTTCTTCATGTTGATGTATTTTAAAGTTCGTACCGATTTTGATGATTTTTTAAGCAATTTGTAGCTAAATTATTTAACTTTTTAGTGTCTCTTTCTAAATTAAAAATGAAAGTTACCATCTATCAATTATACGAGGGAAAACAAAATGTTGATATTTTGGTGAAAGTCTGAAACACCCTGTAGAATATTTGAACAAAGCAAGGAATTTAAAAATGATTTTATCATCTATAAGATGCATCTTTACTCGATAGGTAGTTTATTTTTTAGTTCATCTCAATAGCTTTATTTTTTGGAGATATTGGTTTTTGAAGAAGCCATTTTTACATTAAAACGATGTCTTTGTGTGTGCTTTTGGTCTTCAACAACACACCTGAAAAAATATTTATTGTATTTGTAAAATCAGTGTCATTGAAAAGGCATATATTATAATTGTTTGTTGGCAGTTACTCTAGCAGAGACGGTTTTAGGTGGAGAAGTTGATCTCTACCATAATCAACAATTAAAGCAACTATAGCGGATACAAGTTCTAGACTTAAAACCATCTCTACTAGAGTAACTGCCCAACAGACAATAATAATATGATTTTTCAATGAAAGTGACATTAACACACTTTTTCAGGTGTGTTGATGAGGACGAAAAGCAAAGGCATGGTTTTAATGTAAAAATTACGAAAAAATGTTAATGTCTTCTTCAAAAGACAATATCTCCATAAGAATTAAATAAAGCTATTGAGGTGAACCAAAAAATAATATCGAGAAAGATGCACCTAGATGATAAAATTATTTTTAAATTCCTTGCTTTTTTAACATACTCCACCGGGTGTTTCAAACTTTCAATAAAATATCAACATTTTGTTTTCCCTCGTATAATTGACAGATGGGAACTTCCAATTTTAATTTAAAAAGAGATACTAAAAAGTCTAACAATTTAGCTACAAAAAATCATCAAAATCGGCCCAATAGAAAGAACTATATTAAACTTTAAAATAATTTAATTATTTTTTTTTTTAAATAGATGCAGTTTTTCTTAAATTACTTTACGAATCGGCTTGTCCAAAATTGTTTAAATTTGGCATGTGTATTCAGCATACGCAGACCTTTGTAGAATGTAGGATGTAGACTACGCAGACCTTTAAAATCATATTTACAATTTCGCTGTAAAGCAGGGGAGCCAGTATCTGGACAGTTCAAAATTTGTATGCTATTTCCTATTTTCCAACGACGATGCACCACCCGGTATAAAGCAGCATATGTTATTATATAAAAGTATATAGAGCATATAATAAATTTTGCGAGAAACTTTTACTCCCGGGCAGAAAAATGTCGCCCAGAATCCTTTGATCCTGAGGGAAAATATTTACTTGGCGCGTTTGCACATTAAACTAGGGTTGGCCAAACAATTTGTGAAAGCAACGGACAAAATGTCCTCGCCTTAGTGATGCTAAAATCAAGGAGTTCCAGATTATACAGCTTTTCCAAGAGTCTACGTTCATTGCAAAACATGTGTAAGAACTTTTTGGCTATCAAAGAAAGTGATGATTATGTCTCGCTCAGGTCAGGGAATTGCTTAGCGTTGTAACATGACTCTTAAAGTGCGTTTCCTTCAATCGCACTTTTTCAGACGTTCTACTATTTTTATGTCACTTAAATTTAGGCTTGAACCATAAGTACACAAGTACACATATTGTCTACAGCTAAAATAATTCTTTTCACCTCTTCAAATTATATTCATATCTATAAAATTATCATTATTATGGAAAAGTGACAAAAATTAGAGAGGGGCTGCCCTGAAAAATGTGGATTGTAGAAGTAAACGGGAGGTATATTTGGATTCAGGACGTTATTTGACATAAGGATCACCAGGACTGGTGCCGGGGTTCGAGAATTTTTCTTTTTTTGCAGACCAGTGTACTCGATCATGTATTTTATTTCAGGTTTTCCATTTCCCACGGTGAGGGCCGGCGCGTATCCAGCTTTGTTACCCAGCCAGTACGGGTAAGTGCAAAATCGTTCCCTTTCTACACTACGATATAAACAGTCGACATCGCCAGCCGAACCAATGTCATAATCAGTTATTTCATGTTTTCTAGCCTCTTAAGCTCGAGGAGTTGGTGATTCCGTTCAAATTGTTTTATCGAATTTGGCTGACGCAAGAAACAACTCGAACATAACGTAACAGTTAGTCTTTCGATGAGTGTGCGTGTTCGTGTGTGTGTGGATTTTTAATTTTGATTAGTTACTGAGTTCCACTTATCAATTAAATTTGCCGGTGCTTGTCAGGTCAATGGGACCGGGCTCCAAACGTCTCGTTACGCCATTAATAAGAAGTAAAATCAGACGGTCCTTTGAGCAACTTTCGTTAAACAAAAATACTTATAAATGGCATTTCGAGTTTTCGTTCCAGCGGCTTGACAAGTATCACCAAAATATATATGCACGATGTCCTCCAATCATAAACCGACTTTCTTGTTTTACTGTTCCCTTTTGCAAACACTCGTTCGCAAGTAACATTAGATTTGTTAGTTTTGAGAAAATTTAACTACTTTTTTCTTAAATTTGGCACTTGCTCCTAACTAGGGTAACTACAGTATAACTTCAATAGTCCAGGCAGATCGTTCCGGCATACAGCCGGATTATCGAGGCACCCGGATTACTGGAGCCACTTAAATTGTCAAAAATAACTATAATAAATTTGTTAATCAAAATTATAGATAAAAACTATTTTTCCCATAAAAACCTGATTCCTCGCTGCATTGCAACATTGTATCAACGTAAATCTGTCTTTGGATCTTTCAACATGGAGCTGTTTTTTCATCTTGACGAACTCATCTGCATTGTATACTTGTTCTTTGCTTAATATCGTCTCTGGAAGAACAGATCTAAACTTTTCCTGAAACAGAATCACGGCTGTAACATCTCTGGAAAGCAGTAACATTTCTGGCCAAATATTGTAAGAAAACGTACTTCGTTTCTTAAGTTTGGTTTATCTGGCAATCCATAACTGATTGAAAATACCGCTTCGATTCATGAAATCTCTGATGTACAATGGGAGTTCAAGTCCAGGCTATTCTGCTCTTCTCATTTTGTTATTTGTCTTTGAAACAATACGACGTCATCGATAATGGTATTCATACGGTTGGTATTCCTATGGTTGAAATTATTTTGATACAAAAGTTCTGATTTTATCCTTCATTTTGTTTATGTCATACACTGCAGATTTTGAAACCATAATGTATCTGCTCCGCAATGTGACGAGTATTTTTCCCGATCAAGATAATCTAATATTATAGATTGTCGTGTGTAAAGAGATGTGGTAGTTTTATTGGAACCATTACGGTCTAACAAGATTAAGAATCAAATGCATAAATAAGACTTAGTTCATAAACAAAATATAAACGTTTCTGCTTATCCAGATTTGAAAATTATGAGATTTCGCGTATGATTTTTTTGCGTCCGAATTTCAGGGGAAATAACAAATAACAGTATCCGGATCACTGGAGTGCCCAATCCAGAGACTGTCCGGACTATGAAGTTATAATGTATATGTTTACCAGTAAACAAAATCCAACTTACATTGATGTACTTAGTTTTAAACGTTTTAACGGTTACAATTGTTGATCAAACTTAACTCGATTGGCGGACGACATATTACTGTTTGCTGTGGGGTTTTTTGTACTACTTTTATTTTGGGCTGATTATTTTTGTACGGTATTGTTGTAACTCACGACTGCAATGTAACATTAACGCGACGCTAACAGGATTTCGATGTGCTTGGTTGTCCTTAGGAGAGCCAGTGAAGCGCTTATAGAATAGAGTACTTGTTTGAACAGTGTCATCTCGAAAATTAGGCGTAAGCACTTCACTGGATCTGCGAATCGGAGTAGGTTACAGTGCAGCCGCGTAGAGGGATGGCTGAGGTATGTGAGTTGAAAAAGGTCTTCGAGTCCTGGTTGAATCTGACAAACCAATAGTTTGTGGGATTCGATTATGAACTGGTAGACACTGAATGACTGAATAGACTGACGCGGATTGAATCGAAGCATTTCCGGTTAAGGTAGAATCGTAGTTTTTTAGATTGTTTTCTCTCACTACTGTTGATTTTACCGTTACATAACCCCACCAGAATCTATCCTATTTCAATACTAACCCGGTCAAAGGCGAAATCTCTGGCAGAAAGTGGCTTTTCGATCGCGTCTTTTTCGGCATCTTTAGAACTCACGGCGTGATCGATATCGAATAACTCGCCTATATCTCCATGCAAAAAGATGCTCATGAGTAGGGTTTCCATAACAGTTTTTGGAAATTCCGGGCAAGTGAGAGCAGTGAAATCCGGACTTCGTTGAAAAATAGATTATGGCATTATTTATATAAAGTTTGTCTGACGAGAGAATACCTGACAGTGAGAGTTGTCTGTCATTTTAATTCACAGATAAATTGTATTTTCTATCATCGTTTGGATACCGTTGTCTATTGCATATAAAATTAGCATGAGCAAAAGTCTGTCCAACCAGTCAGGGAAGATTTCGAAAGATGACAGAAAATCCAATTTACTTGTGAACCTGACACTGTCATGGATCGTTGGATAAATGTGAGTTTATCCAACGATCCATGGCACTCTGTTTTTCCGGCACTCCAATCATTCAAGTATACTGTCATTATTGAAATAAACCAATAAAATTGCCTAAAATCAACGACGGACGATGCACGGATACATGTAAACCCACACAGTATTCATAAAGCGCACGTAATCATAACAAAATAAATTTAAAATAATTCATATCCACGAGTGGACCGAAGACGAAAAAAACTACCAGATAGATATGTCGGTTTAGTGAATATAATATGACATCGTAACGATTAAAATATGGAAGAAAGTTAAGTTGTTTTTAAGCTAGATTTTCCGGACATTTTTTTGAAATTCCGGCCGGACCACCTGGACATCGTAAAATCCCGGACGTATGGAAACCCTACCTATGACGGTTGCTTGAGGAAAAAGTTAAGTCCGCTCTACCTACATAAATCTCTAATAAAAGAAAACGTTGTCGCCAAAGCCAGCCCGAGCCAAAAGTTTGAAATGCGTCAGAGTTGGCCGTATTTGTGGACGATGTAAGAAAACGAAAATAGCCCGAAAATTAATTGGCCAAGTCTTGTTCGGTTCTCCACGCATGGTTGTGGAACTCTTTGACACGGACTTTTATATTTAGATCGCATCTCGAACGGGTCTGGCTTGTTCTTCTGGCTAGTGACCGCGTAGCGCGTTCAATTAAACAATTTCCACGACGAAATTGAGGCTCAGCTGACCAATAGGCGCCGGGGTGACGCTCTTCAGCTGCTCCAGATTGGAAGAGAATGTCTTATATGGGCCGAACCGGGGTCAATAAGACCTCGGGAGCTTGGATCGCCGGAATCCGGAGTTTGCCCGGAGCGGCGCGCGAACCTCGCAACTTTACAGCTAAGTCTGGATTTGCGAGAAGATTATCCAATAGTCGGCTGACGCCGCCTTCGAGGCCGGCTCTTTTCTCCTTTTTTTCCGCTAGCTTTCCTCCGGCTCGAAATTTTTACTTATCCAGATCGCAACCTAGCCACGTTTTTAATTAGACTTTTAATCATGACTAGGAAAGCAAAAGACTTTCCTACAAACCGCATGAAAATATGTATGCCTATTTCGTTGCTCTATTTTATGTTGAACAAACATTATTTTTACCGACTAGTCAATATAAGGGAAAATCGATAACACATTAGGCTGAAAAGAAGCGTATTGTGCTTAGAATATATATGTAATGGATTATTATTTTCTATTTGGAAATCCCTTATGCCAAGGGCGCAAATGGATTTCCTTCTAATCACCACCGCACTCAATTACTCAACTATTAATCATTTTCAAACGGTCGCCTCGAAAAAAAAAACAATGCGACAATCGTAGTTTTTTTTTATTAAAATCCGTGACGTATAGCAATAATAAATGTCCGATGATAGACATTTTTAGTGTCCTAGTCCTGTGCTATTCCACTTAACTGTCATTATCGCATTTGGCAGTATTTAACAGCCGAGAAAATATGTCTAATCAATGCCATATCTGACTGCGCGGTGGGGTCACTATAAAGATAAAATCCACTCATACTGAAACATCTTACAATCCATTAAATTAATAAAAGTATAAATAATCGTATTAACATAACAGATTGTTTGTTTAATGACTGAATACTTGTAACCACATTGTTGTTTTCTATATTCTATGTTCTTGTCTTTTTGTGTTTTTGCTCGTTGTTGTTCTTATTATCTTCTGTATGCTAGTGTGTTATGTTAAGGTTTGTTTATCGTATGTTTTCAGGTATATTTTCAAATAAATCAACTCGGAAATAGAAAACCGTTTACTGTTTGAATTGAAACTGAAAAATACAGTCACCCTCCAAAAAGATTACAACATATGGGAGATTATTTGTATTGTTGTGTGTTGTTTTTTAAAAAATGAAGAATAATTTAAAAAACAATTTTTTTGAATAATACGTTTACATGAATTTTGCTATCAATAAATTTCATAGACTTGGTTATCAAACCGTGTTCCCGTAGATTACGTAAATACCTACAAATTTTCTAAAAAAATAAAAATTAACACATTTTTTGAACACAACAAAATAATATTAACTAAACAAAACTAGAAAACGTCATTTTTACTATACATTAAAAGCAAATAAAAATTAATACGTAGCCAAGAGTCATAGGTGAAAAATTAATGATATAAAAGAGTATTCATTTTATTTTATGTAATTCAGATGAAAAAACTGTTAAAATTAAAAGATCTGGTTTAAGATGGGCTTTAATCTGCTTTCTTGGCGTATGTCAAAATAAATTTTTAATTAATACTGTATGCGTATTTTCATAATTCAATAATAAAAAAAGACCATTCGTTGGAAACGTTGAAGTCTCTAAAAAATTTGTAGATGCGCCCCGCGAATAAGTGAATAATAAAATGCTAAAATTTCGAATCTCACTTCACGACACTTTTTCTCAATAGTTCTTTTAAAAATCGTCGAATCCGTCTGAGAAATGTATTTCTGACCGTATTTCTGGTTAAGGAGACACCTTCACGACTCTTCGTAACCGTGCCAAGTCTATTTCTGTCGCCCCTATTTCATATTGTTTGTGCTAATGCATTATTTTTAACTCCGATAAACTCAACACTTGGCTTTTTGTCTTTAAAAATCTCGTCATTAGCGTGGCCATTTGTTATGATGACGACCTTTGGCCGCTGGAGTGTATGAGAAAATAATAGCTGGTCAAAATACTGACACGTGGAAACACTATCCCCTAGAGCCACGTCTCAATACAAGACTTGCGCCTCTTCGGTGGGGCGTCGCTCCTAATACCTGTAACAAAAAAATTCTTAATAATGGACAGAAATTCTACTAATCGAGCCAAATGCAAAAGTCGTATGCGACGGAACAGCATTAACCTCTTTATGGTGCGTGGCTAGGAAAATGGGAGCCAATCTGTGTCAGAAGCTGAAGGAGCCCGACAGTTACGTACAGCACAACTCATACGGCTTTCGTAAACGCTTTCGGCACCAATCGTTTTCCGTAGAGCAAGCCAGAACCGGTGCCCGGTATTCCTTTATCCGGCCTTAACTTGCCACTTCAGAATACTGCCAACTATTGTTCTTTGTGTCTCTCGCACCCGACAAACCGACGCGGCGACGGACCGACCGACGCATCAAATCCTAACTGAAAATTTGACTCTATCGCGGCGTCCAAAGTTTTCCTTCCGGTTTTATTTGGCCTTTCTGGTGTTGCTTGCTGTGCTCGGTGTCCTCGGACGGTTCTCGGTACCAGTTTTATTTTCTATTTTGTTTTCAGGATGCCTCCCAGCTACATGTACCAGTCACCGTACCTGGCAGCCACTGCCCCCGGCAGCCTAGTGCCCCTACCCACGACGCAGCTGACCCACGCAGCTGCTGTAGCCGCTGCGACGTCCCAGTTTTACGAGTACCAGAACGCGGCCGCTATAGCTGCAGCTGCGCCTTACACTAGCCAATACGCCAACGGATTTGATGCCTACACGCCGTACACTGGCGCAGCAAGTGAGTATGCGCCCACCGCTAACACCAAGCGACTCTAATTGTTGTTTTTCTAGGTACGGCGAACTACATGCCCTACACCTATGCTACTCTCCCTCAGACACCCGGCATACCAACGGCTGCTACTACGGCGTTTCCCACCATCCCCTACCAGGCCTCGGCCCAAGCTCCTACCTTGCAGGAAGCGAGGTTGCAATAGGCCAGCCATCAGCATCCGCAGTTTAGCAACACAATTTATATTTATTCTAGCATCCCCTTGACAACGCCGAGGCATAGTTTCGCGTTTCGTATAGTGATAATTGTCAATTGATTAACGACCTCAGACAAAATGCTCAATAAATCCCAACAAGACTTAATTGCTGCTCTTTTGCAGACCGTTACTTTGTTCAATCTGCAAAAGGAAGTGCAATATACTTAAAAGATATAGTTAGTATATTATTTAAAATGAAAACTGTATAGTTCTAGTCCTTAGTTATAAAGGTATTTTCCTTAATATTTTCTTTATCCTTTATGGGACGGGGAATAATAATTATTCTTAATATTTTAACTTAGGTTTTGCATATTTAAGTTTAGCATTTGAAAACTAGTTAGATGCCGATTTACATTTTCACTATTATTTCTTTAGTTGAATTCATTTCGTCTGTAGCAATATGGAGCATTGTCAGTGCCTTCCGAAAGCAAATGTATAGAGACCGCGTTTTTGATTTCCGCGTTAAAATGGAAACACTCGACGGCCTACTCATGATCTAGTCAGGGTTCAGCACCATTTTGAATATCTATTTCCGTCCATCATCCGATGCGACGCTTTCGCGTCCACCGAAGGGAACAAAACAACTCAAGTCGACACTCACCATCAATTTCTGTGAAAATGTAAATATCTTTATTATATACTGTACTTCAGTCATAGAGACTATATGTTTATGTACACTTATTTATATAAAGGTTATTTTAGTCTAGGTTTTTTTATTAGTCTGTAGTCAATTGCCTATATACCTACCAATCCGCAAATATTTCCATCCTTTTTTGCCATATTTCTACTCAAAAAAATACATTTCTTTGAATGTGGTAGACAATGATTCAGCATTGAAACTAAAAGTTCGGACCTCCATTATCTTTATTTATATTAACTTACAGTCACACAGAGTGTAAATTAAAATAAATAAAAACAGTGGAAGGCTGACTTTATTTTAGTTTCAAAATTACATTATTCTCTTAAATGCCTTCTTTTTTTAGAAATACATCCAAGAAAAATTAAAACAACGTTTAAATTGTTCACTTTATTTTCAAAATGATGTTCACAAAAAAAATGAAAGGTAAATGGTTATATCAAAAATATAATAAGGGTGAGTTTGATAAACCTAATTTTAGATGTCACTAAGCATTCAAATAAAAATACTCCTCACTTTTAAGTAGAAATAACATTATCTCCAAGGCCACTTGACAAAATAATTTCCCTCCTGTATGTCTATGCTGTCGCTCATTACTGTTTGTTAATACCTTAAAAATTAAAACAATGTTTTCGCTCTGTAAAAGTGCTCTTTATGCCCTTTTACCTTATCAGCTCTCTTGTCTGAATATTGTGAATTGTATGTTTATACATTACTCTAAATGTTCATCTTTTAAAAGCTAAAACAAAGGACCAGTAGAATGAGGACAAATACTAAATACAACTACCTACATTTAATAAAGGATTGTCATCAGAAGTATTATAACTATTCAGAATATTTTTTAGTTGTTCCAACTCACTTTCTGTCTCATCTAAATGAAAGAGATTATCCCTGAAAGTCAAAATGAAAATCTACCACCTTAACAAATGTAAAGGGCTTGCTTACCTTGAATTTAATTTAATTTGATTGTTGGTTGTTACTTGCATGTCTGCCTGGTTAGACTCCAGATTGTAGGTATTACTTGCATCTTTAACTGTACTTTTACATGGGATGTTGAATTTATCTAAACTTCCTGCAAGAGAATTTGATTATTAAATAATATATTCTGTTATCTCAGCATTCGCACTGTCACCATATAGATTAATGTAAATCTCAGAGTCTTAATAAGAGATATGATACGTTACCTACAAGTCCTGAGAAGTCAGATGACTCTCCATAATCTGATGTATTATCTGCGCCATTATTACTTGTGACGGAAGATTCAATGTTGTTCTTTAAATTGAAAGAATCTTATTAAAAGAAACAACTTTCTGAATAAAAAACCAACTTACTAAAAATGTTTGACCTACATCATCCTCTGGAACAAGAAAATCATTTCTGTTATGAAAATAATTCTCAAACTCTTCAATTGGAGAACTTCTAATACTAGGTTGGCAATCAATACTTTGCTGAATTTTCAGTCTCTTGTTGGGACTGTCTTGTAGTACCAAAGGGATTCTTTTACCTCCACGTCCCATTCTACTGTTATGATTTGGTTGTATTAACGTAACTAAGAATTGAATGACCTTGCAAATAATATAAAATGATAATACGCACTTTTACAATAATATTAATAGAAACTAACACTTGCCTTGTCAACAATTTGTTGCTGCTTCATATCTTTATGTCTAAGTAAAGCCAATTCTTTCCATAGCATAGTATTCTCTTGTTTCATTGCAGACAACTGTGAAACAATACCAGATTGCAGACCTCTAAGATGCTTTACATCTGTTAAAACCCTAGATAAATCATTATACTTAAATACATCTTGGCCTTCATCAAATTTAGTTATGGTTCCCTGGAAATATATATAAAATATTTCATTTGAATAGGTACACCAAACTTGATTACTTTTCGTTTAATATTTTTTAGATCTTCTGGGTGCTCCCGTTGAAAAAATGTATGGCAAAACTCCATTTCTTCTTTGTCCACATCAGCGCAGCCACTTTCAACAGTACATACTTTATGGAAGCCATCTGAATTAACCCAAAAAGAAACGAAATTAAAACCAAAGTTCAACCTGGTTTCACTGCTCATGATTCTTTTAAGAAGGTTACATACCTAGGTACATCCTGTTTTAATTTTCCAACTTAATAAAATTAGCAAAAATGACACAAATAACTAATTATACTCACACATATTAAGTTGTCGAATAAAACTGCTCATATTGTTATGTCTATAGTACAAAGGTAGTAACTCATACCAAAACTGGGTTTTATTTTGGATCTTAAAACCATTTCCCGCCTATAATAAAAACAGATAGATAAAATGAAAGTTATAACTTTTTCACAATTTTCCTACTCTGTTCCAACAAATTAACGAATCAGTATTTGAATCATTAACCATTTTCCATAATTTAGTCAGAAAAGCTGGGATAAGCAAATTGTCTAAATGAGGCTGCATTTTCCAAATTTTATGATTATTTCTATAAAAGAAAATAGATACCTCGTCTAACTTATTATAATATTAAATTAACTTTGTGATTAACTTTGTTTTTATAACTTTTATAATCATAGGTTATGTTGGGTTATGTCATTTGACATTTGACATTGACCATTGACCAGCATTAACGTAGTCCTGGAGATATAGAGGTAAGAATTTTTCATAATGGACTTTAAAATGATAGGCAGCCATACATACATAAACCAATTATTTGGTGTCATATTGTACATTAATGTTCTCGTTGGAGTATTTATTTCTATTATTCTAGTCTATTATCTAATTCCAATAATCGTTACTAAAAATAACAAATACTTATGAATGCAGTGAACAATAAGTCAGTATTGATACTTAAGAAATTTCTTGTTCTTATTCCATTTAACTTACACAACGTTTCGGTCAATGATACATATCTGACCTAAACTTTGTGTAACTTAAATTATAGTGACATTAGGTAGATTGAATGTGAATAAATAATTATGAGGGTAAGAATAATAACATTTTATGCCATCGCATAAATTAGTTATATAGTATAATCTACTTATTACTTATTATCCTTCTACATCAAACAAATATTTTCAAATGAGTCGAGTCCTAAAAATAAAACGGTTTAAATCGGAAAAACCTTCCGATTTTTGTAACAATTGGTATGAAGTGCAAAATACCTATATATGTTAAGAATTTTCATTATCAGTGATGGATTATTAGAGACAATCGACAACATGTCAGTGTATTGTGATAAGGTGTCAAATGAAGTGTTTAATCCATTAAAATCCCATAGAAAAAAATAAATCGGTATTACAATATGCACACTTTAATTTTAATCTATTAAGTATAAATTTACCACTTTGTTTTTATTTATTACTCATATACTGTTTTTATCTCTCTACATTGTCCGTATTCATTTTAGAATCTCAAAAATTATTCGCATATTAAGTATTGTATGATCAAAAAAAAATCGGAGTCCAGTTGGCTTGGAAATGACGATCGACATTCCCCATACAATTTTACATATAAAATCACAGTTGGTTAGGCTTGCATAGCCATCACTGACGCCGTTTTTTTTTCGATCATATGGTATATCAGAGAATAGGTACATTAATGGTATATCTTAATATTAATAGTACGTAACTTTCACTAAACTTGACATTAAATCACCAATCGCAAAGGAAGTGAAAGTGTTTGTTGAGTCGTTATTTCAAGGTGCACAGCTAATATGGTACGCCATTAAATTTTAAGTTGTGATTTTGAATTCGATCTACCTGGCGACCTCCAATTAGTTCCTAAACAGGTTGAAATATTTTAAGCCCCCGTAACAGTAAATTCTAAAGAAATTTCAACCACACCAACAAATCTCAAGCCTTATGTGATATTAAAATCTGTTAATCGCGCGACTTTAATTTCCAATCATTTTTGATTTTTTACCGGTATAGGCGAGCGATGCCGCGTTGTCACGTTGTAGAGAAATGAGATACGGTGTTTTATGCAAACAAATTCGTTTTCAGTTTATTCGAAAGTCAGTTTAAGTAAATGAGTAGCGTGGTTGGTAGAAATAAGTGGTGTGGTGTTGTACCTGTGAAGCTGTCGGGTTGAAAGAATTTTGTAAAAGAAAAAGAAAGGTCATCGAAACTTGGCCGGCTCTAGCGAAACGCGCGAAAAAACAATGCCATTGGCAACTATATTCATTGAATAAGGCTGGGCTGAGCTCAAGAGTACCTGCAGTTCGCCATTTGATTGGAGAATGTTGGTTTGGAGTGGCATTTAGAAGGCAACAGCCAGCGTATTGCGATAATCCTCACAATAGTTTTCAACTTCGACAACGTAAGAAAGCGCGCGTGTGAGTTTAACTACGATGGTCTCAACGTTGGATCAATTGAAAGACGAGCTTAACTCTGCCAGCCAAGAACATGTTCTCCAGTTCTGGAGTGAACTTGACGATCAGGAAAGGGACGCCTTTTGGAAACAACTCTCGACAGTTAATTTCAAAAATAGCAACCACCTGTTCGAAAGAGCGCAAAGATCGCTCGCGACAGATACCGAAAAATTAGACGAGCGTATGGAACCAATTCCCAGCGAACATTTCGCATCGCAACTTAGTGTAGACGAGGCAGAACTGGAGCGCTACGAAAATGCCGCCCTAGAAGAAATCGCAAAGGGTACAGTAGCCGTGTTGCTGCTGGCGGGCGGACAAGGAACGCGTCTAGGACTGTCCTATCCAAAGGGAATGTGTTCTGTGGGCCTTCCTTCCGGTAAAACGCTGCTGCAACTGCAAGCCGAAAGAATACGAAGCGTGGTCAACTTGGCGAAGCAAAAAACGGGCAAAGAGGGCGGGATCTGCTGGTACATCATGACGAGCGGCGCAACCAACGCAACCACGAGGAAGTTCTTGGAAGCCAATGATTTCTTCGGACTGCCTGCGACCAACGTTAAGCTGTTCGAGCAGGGACTGTTACCGTGCTTCGACTTTGACGGAAAGTTGCTGCTGGAGGATAGGAACGCGGTAGCACTCGCTCCAGATGGAAACGGCGGTGTCTATAGGGCTCTGGAAACGAGCGACATCCTCGCAGACATGACTCAAAGAGGCGTCAAATACGTCCACGTCTACTGCGTGGACAACATACTGGTCAAAGTGGCAGACCCGCTCTTTATTGGCTACTGCATCACGAAGGAAGCGGAGTGCGGCGCTAAGGTGGTAAGCAAGGAAGAAGCAACCGAGCCAGTGGGTGTGGTGTGCAAAGTGGACGGTCGCTTTCAGGTGGTGGAATACAGTGAAATTACGGAGAGGACGGCCAAGTTGCGCGACGCCTCGGGAAACTTGGTATTTCGCGCCGGAAATATCTGCAACCACTTCTTTAGCGTAGACTTTCTGCGGGCCGTGTGCGAACAGCACGAGCGCAACCTAAAGCTGCACGTGGCCAAAAAGAAAATTGCCCACGTCGATGCCCGTGGTGAGAAAGTGAAGCCCGACACACCCAACGGAATCAAAATCGAAAAGTTCGTCTTCGACGCGTTCCAGTTTGCCAGCAGATTCGTGACTTGGGAAGTGCCTCGGACCCGCGAATTCAGCGCCCTAAAAAACGCAGATGGCGCCAAAAAAGACTGTCCCTCTACAGCTAGACGCGATCTGTTGCACCTGCATCGGACCTACGTCGAGCGAGCTGGAGGCTTCGTTGATCCAGGGGTGGACGTGGAAGTTTCGCCGCTTTTGTCCTACGGGGGCGAGAACCTTGAAAAAAAGGTTAGAGGGCGCCGTTTTCAATCTAGCACCATTCTTCTGGCGGACAACGAATGACTTACAATAGCTTGCCAACATTTATTACCCTCGCCAGGATTTGCTTTGTTCCTAAATTATCCTATATCATTAAATTAAATTATCCTATATGTCGTATTTAATATATATGTACTAATGTACTTCTTGTTTCTGTTTTCCTTTCCATTCGAACGGTCGTTAGCTATTTTATCAACTTTTAATGGTCCTTAGCTATTTTATCAACTATTAATTGAAAAATTAGTGCACTATTTTTAAACAATGATATATGTTTATACATTTTAGCAAATTTAACTGTAATAATTCATGTTTGCTATCGTTAATCCGACACTTGAAAGTGCTTTTGATTGATCAACCAGATAAGTCAAGCAGCAAGCAGCACCAAATTTATCTACTCCTCATTTTTTCAGCATTATCTTACATTGTACCAAGGCATTATCTTAAATTTCCATCAAGTGTTTAGTAGAATTTCTGTTTACTAACTGCTTAAATTAGGGATTGGCCGTCACGCACCATTGAAAATATTGATGACACCTCGATACTCCATATCTCATTCCGATACTTCCAACACAAAGAATTCCTATATATTCGATTTTTGCAAATTTAATGTGACAAAAGGATTTGACCAAAAAAATATTGAATTTTAATAATTACCTACTGCGTAGGCTGTAACCCATGTTTAAAAGAGCGTAGCTAACCCTCTACATAAGATTATTTAACTTGGATGATTACATCCTCTTCTCTTCTATTAAAATATAATAGCCTGGAAAGGCTGTCAGGTGTCAGGAGCTTATAGATAAAAACTCTTAAGGACTCGGTCTTAGATCGGTCGTCAAAAAATAACAATATAACTTTATTTATATTTTGCAGTCTTTACACTAGTTTTATACATCGTAAAATATGAAACCTGCTGCACCAAAATAAAATAACATATTTAACTTCAATTTATTTTTTCCTTTTGGTTTATCTGCTTAGGCATTCGCATATATAAAATAACGGTGGATTAAAAATTATTTTATACCTAGTCACAATTTTATGTATTTTTTCCTTATAAATAGCCAGTCACAATGTTCTTATATTCTGGCTTGCTACGGTTATGCACAGAACGCAATATACATATGTGTATTTAACACAGGTATTTAACTTAATTATTGTTCGGGTGTAAAGGAAGGTATAAATATAGTTCGAAGCATTACTAAGCCTTGTTCTGTAACCCGTTCAATTATCCAAATTTTTCGATTTTTCTGTTGTTAGTGCTATTTTTTTCTTTATGTTAATACAGATATATTTAATATATCTGATATCTGATGTCTATATACAGTATAATAAAACGGTGGTCCACCTTTTTCAAAGGCATCCACTGCCGTTCTTTAAAAGATCAGCCTGGGGGCGGACTTTTGGTTTACTTCATCAGCTGTACATACTTAGATATTGGGTTAGATTCCGTTTCATATTTTGTCGGTTGATTTTTGGTTTTAACTCTATGATTTTTGGGATTATTTATTATTGTAGTGCAAAAAACTAATTATTTTGGTGTTTAAGTGACATAAACCACTACCAGATATATGGCCACTCTCGGTTTCGCATAAAAATAGAAAAATTGAAAAAATTACACGTTGTGTAAGTGATTTAACCTAAAAGTGCCCATACATTTTTACTCATCGTGAGTTTTGTGTGTTTTTTAAGACTCTAACAATTCATCAATAAAGCTTAAGTGGAGTGTGTTTTTGGTGCTATGCCTCATCTTTGTTGTGTTCCTGTTGGAAAGGATAGTTATACTAGGCAGCCTAAAGTGTCTGGAAGAGCAAGAAAAGTGGGTAACAGAGTTATAAATCAGAGAATTCTATTGAAAATATCTTTAATAAATTTAAAAAATAATATTCTCCTATGATAGTATTAATGAAAATTGGACAATTATGTTTATTTTATTCATATTGTGGAATCTCCACTTCAAGTGTTGTTGGTTCAGCTTCGATAGATTCAAACACGTAAGATAAACATGTAAGTAGGTATTATGATCTAGGGAAAATAAAGAATATGTGTATTAAAGATCATGAAAAAGATTATTATTTTGAGTTCAAATTTTAAAAAGATTTTTGTAAAGACATCGAAGATTACAGTTGAGGGTTGGAACCTATTTGGTGTTAAACAGCAAAATAAAAGGAAACACTAAATCACCACAATACACCAAAGACACTTTTTACTTTTACACTGGACGCGCGTTTCGCTAACCATGTTAGCATCATCAGCAGATGATGCTTTTATGCTGATAGTTTATAATCGTCTGCTGATGATGCTAACATGGTTAGCGAAACGCGCGTCCAGTGTAAAAGTAAAAGTGTTTTGGTGTATTGTGGTGATTTAGTGTTTTTATTTTGCTTTTTATTTTGTCGAATATAATCCAAAAAATTACATATAAAATATTCACACCACACACATAATGTTTACTGCGTTCTCCATAGTCAATGTAGATAATTTTAGTGTTAAGAATAATAATTTTAAAAAACATGTGGTCATCTTTTGATAAGTTTATATTAGTTTATTAATTGCAGTAAACATTATGAGGTGTGAATTATATTGTATATGTAATTTTGGATTATATTCGACACTATTTTTCTCATATGACACAACACTGATGAAGGCTATAGTTAGCCGAATCGTTTTTAAACCAAATAAAATAATGAAAACCCAAAAATGAAAACTTAAATCAGCGTTTTTCCCGAACCTAAAAATCCCAAGAAAATCAAAAATTTTAGAATAATTTTACATATAAAATGCCAGCGATCTTCATTTCATAGCCATCGCTGACGCCTTTTTAGATAATATTGTATTATTTGTAAATATAATTTTTCGAACATTGATACTTGCAAAATATACATATAAATTTTGTGAATGCAAATAATAATACATTACTATTAGTAGATATTGAATGTTTTTGTTAAATTAGATCGATTTTCAAACCCCAAAATTTAAAATATATTTACATTTTACCCATTATCTTATGTACCTATACATTATTTGTACAGCTGGTTCCAATAAAATTGAATACGATTTAAAACATATTTTTATTATTTCGGGCAGTATATTCTATGATACCAGTCCCCATTTCTCTACTCATGTCATACTGACGTTCTGACACAATGACCTCAATGTCACAATAACTTTAACATGTCAAAATACTTGACACATAAATATACACTGCCCAAATATTCTAAAAATGTGTAAATCGTATTCATTTTTTGGAACCAAGCTGTACATTGTAAAACATTTGTTGCATTTGTATGGTTCATAGTTTATTTCCCAAAGTATTTATTACTATAAATAGGTATATATGTTGTAGTTATTAACTGTATATTATGTATATTTCATGTAAACTATATCATTTTTAAAATACAAACCAAAAATCTGAGGAATAATTATGTTTTCCATGTATTCTACAACATATTTATTAATCCGTTATATCTAACTAGCGTGACGTCATAAATCTCACCCGTGGGCTGATCTTTTAATAGAAGGCACTGAGGCATCATTCTGTGCGCTCTTTTTGGCAGAAAAATTTCTTGAATGTTTGTCTGGTTGCCTACACTAAATTGTCATTTTGTTTGAAAATTTAACAAACTAAAGTGAGGTTATTTTTCTCGAGTAATCGTAACAGATCGTAATTGTACTGTACTCGTAGTTTAGTCAAGTCTCAAGTGTAATAAATATTAAAAATGTTAATAACTTAAATATGAAACATGTTTTGGTGTTTTTGTAATTGAACATTAATAATGGAAGTAAAAATTTTTGCTTAGTTTATATAAAATAAATTGTTAACACCTTATGAGCCATATGAGAAGGAATATCAATGTGAGAGATTTAGAAAGTTGTTCTGAAAACTATGTTGTTATATAAGTGATCTTATTTGATCTTCTGTTTAATTTAAGATGAAGCCAGCTGGTAAAGTTCACCCTACAGTTTATGTAGTGTTTATATCACTTTTATTGGATTTGTTGGCATTTACTATGATTCTACCACTACTTCCATCGTTATTAGATCATTACAAAGAGAACGATAATACAGGGCTGTATGATTGGCTGTCCAAGCAAGTAAAATACTTTCAGGTGTTAGTAGGAGCTCCAGAGAGATTCAATTCAGTGTTATTTGGTGGATTCTTAGGATCAATGTTTAGTTTTCTACAGTTTTTAGCATCACCTATTATTGGTAGTATATCCGATGTTATTGGTAGGAAAAAAGTGATGATTGTTTGTATGGTATGTTACTATATAATATAGATATTTTAATGTTAATGAGATTTGTATTTGTCTAGATTGGAATATCGCTGTCATATGTATTATGGGCTATTTCTGCTAATTTGTTTATATTTGTATTGGCTCGGTTTCTTGGAGGACTCAGTAAAGGTAATGTTTCAATAAGTATGGCTATAATTGCTGATGTATCTCCAGTGAGCACAAGAGGCATAGGGATGGTAAGTTTATAATAATAATTTAATAACTTTTCATTTTTAACGTATTATCTGTTTAGGCTTTAGTTGGAATAGCATTTTCACTGGGATTTATTATAGGACCAATGATTGGGGCTCTTTTTGCAGTATGGGCCAAGCAAAAAACAGGCCAGTGGTTTATAGCTCCTGCTCTATTTGCTCTATGTCTCTCCATTGCAGATTTGTTATTTTTTTTAATATTTTTTAGAGAATCTTTGCCTAAGGTATTACCTTTATTAGAGTTAATTCAGTTAATAAAGGTAACTGTAATATTATTTTTACAGGAAAAGAGGACAAAACAGTTTTTAGCAAGTTTTAGAAATGCAAAAGTATTATTAAATGTACAAGATCTATTTAAATTTACAGCCGTTACAAGTATTAAAGAAAAAGACTTAAAGCAACTTCAAAGACTGGGACTCATATACTTTGTCTATTTGTTTATATATAGTGGCTTGGAATTTACATTAACATTTTTGACACATCACATATTTAATTATACATCAATGCAACAGGGTTGGATGTTTTTTGCAATTGGTAAGCAAGTTAATGTATTATACATAGATATATTCAGATTTTGTATTAAAATTAAAGGTTTGACCATGGCTCTTATACAAGGAGGATATGTAAGAAGAATTCCTGCTGAAAAAATAAAATCTACAGCTATAATGGGTTTATGGATTATTATCCCATCATTTGTAAGTGTCGGGTTGGCTAATGGACCTACTCTATTGTATCTTGGTTTATTTTTGTATGCAGTATGTAAGTTTTTGTTCTACACAAAGGAAAAAGCATATTACCTAACTTTTTTTCTTTAGCTACAGCTATGGTTGTTCCTTGTTTAACCACTTTAGCTTCGGAATATGGCAGTGAACAGCAGAAGGGTAAAGTTTTAGGGATTTTTAGGTCACTGGGTGCCTTAGCAAGAGCCGTGGGGCCTGTTTTTGCGAGCATTGCTTTTTGGAGTCTAGGCTCAAAAGTCACGTATCTATTTGGAGCAGTATTGTTACTTTGGCCTGTATTGGCATTAAAAAAGTTATGATATATAGTAAAATCATTTTATTTTTTACTAATATAATTGTTATTTATTTATATGTACAGTTTTATAGAACTTTTTGTATAAAGAGATGTAAGATATACAAGGTACTCAAGGTACCCATGCATTTTTAAATACTATTTATTATAAATACTTGTATATTATATCAAAGCAGATTAAACGTAAAATTTAAAAATGTTTGAAGCTATTCGCTTATTTTTAGAACAATAATTGTGATACGCATTTTACATTCATCTTTTGCTAGTAAAATACCAAGAGTGTTGATATTATTTGTTATATTCTTGATAAATGTTTTTATAGTATTTCCATTTTTTTAAATATATTTACCTATATTATAAGTCACTATGCAAAGAAGTTATTTTTATAAATAATATGTTTTTAATTATAATTAGCTAAATAAAAATACAATGCAAAAGAAATGGCATTAGTTACTAACTTTTTAAACCTATTTTACAATGTGATTATCATAATATATAACTTTATATTTTTTTCTATGTCTACTTTCTATATTCACTGCAAAATGCTAAGATAAATAATAAGCTGTAATTTAATTTTAAATGTTTAAATGTTTTCTATTTACATAATTTTTAGGTTTTTATTTTCTATGTTTGAAATATATTTTACTTAATATAGTCTAGACATTAGATTAAGAATAATATACATATATTAAGGTATACATCCATAAATTATATTAAATCGGACTTAAAAAGTCTATAGATATTATTTTTAAACTCTGACTCAAGCCCCAAAGCACACGAGACGGTTTATATGCGTTCCGACCTGTGGTTGCGACTTTGATCGTAAACGCTTGTGCAGGTTAGGGTTAGTTGCATTACCGTGTGTTTTGTAACATTAAAGCACAGCATAGACAACAAAGTACTATTTTGTTATCTTCGACTGTCATTGAAGTGTGATCGAAGCCGACGCCCGGACGCCGCGGCCGGCTGCACAGGCGTTGCTCGTGTGTTTTGGCAATATAATAGTTCTATAATTCCATGAACATTTATACAATGCATAAAATATCCACATTGTCATTGGCCGTTTAAAATACATAGCCTATTCCAGACTTACTACTAATTCCTTATTTTCCTATTTTTCCCACCAAATAATAAAGGTAGTAAAGCTAAAATCCTCGTACCAAATGGGTTTAAAATCTAGTAGAACTCGAGTTTTGTGTATGCTATTTTAAAATAGGGTATAAATTCTTTTAAATAAATAGAATATACATCAATAAAAATAAAAAAATTAGACATTTTTTATTTTATAAATAATAAATCTAAAACATTATATGGCTTTTTTTGGCCCACTTTTTAGTAATTTAACCCACTATCTAAAATTAAAATAACAATGTTAAATGTTAACAAAGACGGCTGTGATTTTTGCTATATGAAGTACCTCCTTCTTATTGGTCAAGTCACATATATGTCATGACGAAGATCGGAAATTGGCGTCGGACATATTGATTTTTAATGCCGAGAGGTCCGCGTGTCTTCGGCGCCGGCAACTAAAATGTTCTGCTTTTTTAATAGAAAGTGAATTTTGTGTACACTGCTTTTTCGAAAATTCTTGTTTATGCATCGCTCAGCCTCTCTAAAAAGTGAGTACTTAATGTTTGCTTTATATTTCATTATATCTCGATTTTTGTTACCATAATGGCGTCTTCGCTATTCTTGTCTTAGCAATATCATCAATTGATAGTCTTCGATTTAACTTAAGGCCATTATGGATATAATCTACCTAATACAGTGCTTTAAATATCGCATATTTTCTGAACATTTTCTAAACTTTTAATGCTGTTTATTTCATTCTATTATGTAATTGGGACTTTTTAAATGTTTGGGAATATTATAAAGAACCAAAAAGCTATTATCCTACCTATTAATAGTTGTTAATTTGTTGATATTAATGCAGTACCTCTTAACAAAAGGCCTACTTATCAGTTTGAAATTTTTCTGATGTTCTAAAACTACTAATATCTTCCATTTTGTTTAATGTTTACTGATGATTTTTTTATTGTATTATTACGTAATAACTTGAAGATTCTATGTTATGAAAGAGAAAGAAATAGTGAGGGAAATGTATAAAAAAGAAGAAAAAAGATTAAACGGCTCAGCCCTCAACAACTCGTAACCGTATACACCAGTGTACTGTACACCAGTGCAGACACGCACACCCACACACTCACACAACCACACCTACACTAGTGCACACTGATGTAACTGCCTTCAGGCTTCATCAGTACGGTAAGGATTCAGGAAGCGAAGAAACCGATCCCAAATCACAAAAATCCAGGAAGCAAACGATGCAATGAGGCACCGTGTGCAACCCAGGAGATGGAAAAAATAATTTGATGAAGAAACGAAAATAAATTATGGAAAAAAAAAAGGAGCAAACGGGTTGTTGAGGACTGAGCCGTTTAATCTTTTTTCTTTTTTTTTATACATTTCCCTCACTATTTCTTTCTCTTTCATATTGGTACCAAGGCTAAGGGTACTGCGGCAGGTTGCTGTTGGCTACCTCCGCGGCTGTTCTGGACGAAGCCCACAATCCTGGGCGACTCTGGTTCTTGGCTGCAAATTGGGGCTTTAGGCTCCCGTTTGCTCCTTTTTTTTCCATCATTTATTTTCGTTTCTTCATCAAATTATTTTTTCCATCTCCTGGGTTGCACACGGTGCCTCGTTGCATCGTTTGCTTCCTGGATTTTTGTGATTTGGCATCGGTTTCTTCGCTTCCTGAATCCTTACCGTACTGATGAAGCCTGAAGGCAGTTACATCAGTGTGCACTAGTGTAGGTGTGGTTGTGTGAGTGTGTGGGTGTGCGTATCTGCACTGGTGTACACTGGTGTATACGGTTACGAGTTGTTGAGGGCTGAGCCGTTTAATCTTTTTTTCTTCTATTGTATGTTATGTTACCTGACTGCTTAATTTTTGTGTTATTTATTAAAATGTTTGTTTTGGTGTACACTGTTCTTCGAAAATTCTTGTTTGTACATTGTTCAGCCTCTTCAAAATGTGAGATTCGATAGATTTTTTTGATTTCAATCTTTATTTTTATTCTCGAATCGTTATTAGATTATTAGGGATATATTTATATATAGCTTTAATTTTTTATATAAAATATATTATTTATTTTTCTTAATAACTGCTATTAAAAGCGTTTGTACCTATATCCTTACGTAACAGCGATTTCATGTTTTTTATTGGACTATTCGATATAACAGTATAAATAAAATAGTACCTATCGAAAAATCCGTTGAATAATAAAGATATTTTTTGATATGAGATTTTTTTCAATTTATGACTGATACATAACATTTTTTGTAAATTTTCTTTTTTCCTTTTTATTTTCACAAAGCCCCTTCAGTGTTTTTGCTTTTCTTTTTAGACGCGATATAATACTACATATCAGCACACTGTCCGAAACGGCAAGATGTTATTACTTAACTCGAGGGTAGTTCCTATGTTGTCCGGACGATATGGATCAAAGTGTGACGCTCCAGAGCGCGACGCTCGAATCTCTTCTTCCGAAGAGGAGACCCGGATCACCTCCCAAACTTGATGTTCTGCCTTACGATGATCTATGTAGCATGCATAGGTACCTTAGTGGCCACCCTCTGGTTTACGAGCTAGGCATTCTAATGCTAGAGGCTTTGGCTGAATACGCTTTGGCACTTAAGCTACGAGTCTTCTTCATGCACGTATTGCGTTGGACATGAAGAATTTTTTGTACTTCATCTGCCTGACATCGATTTATCGGTTGAGATTCGGGATGGAGAGGCTAGCATATCCCAGCTCAGCCTAAAACCAACTAAAGTAAGGATAAAAAATGTCTATACCTATGTGGCGGATTCATCTCTCCAAAAAAATCTTATATGGGTATTTCGCCACTGCAAGAAAATCTACAAAATAAAATAGTTAAGTGCACAGATAAACAAATTTGCCTAACGAACAAAAAAATGCTTAACGTTTCGGAAAGTTTATCTCTTTCAGTAGTCGGAAGCAAACAAAAATACAAAGAATAAAGAAAAAAAATACTTAAAATATTTAAAATTCAACTATTCAAAAACACTTTAGTTTTTTTTAAAACAGATACGTCTACAAAAAAAACCGTTGACATTCTGTTAAAATGACATATCAAGTTAAACTTGAAAATTAACAATTACTACTTGATAACAATTACTTAATAAGGTAAAACCAAAAAGCCCAAAACTTTCTATATGATTATTTTTAATTTTTACGTATTTTATGTTTATTTATGTTTTGTTTTTTAAAATTAAAGAGGGATTGCCGTACATTACTAACATCTACAGATGCATAACTGCATGAGCAATACATTTATTTTTATTAGATTGTATTAAAAAAGCCTCTTTTATTTTTTTAGAGGCTACCGCTTCTTTCATTATAATTTTGGCGTTGTTAAAATTTATTCTGTCCCCTGCGTCCTATGAATGCTGGCAAATCTTAGATTTGTGAGAATCTCCCTTTCTTAAATAATCTTAAGGGTCTAGATGTTTCACCAATGTAAAATTCATAGCATTTTTTTTTATTATAATTTTTGCGATAAACTTTCCGAAACGTTAAGCATGTTTTTGTTAGGCAAATTTGTTTATCTGTAAACTTTACTGCTGACAAGTAGTTTCCGTTGGATTAACGCAGCAGTGTTTACAAAAAATAACTCTTTTATTTTGTAGATTTCCGTGCAGTGGCGAAGGAAATACCCATAGAGGATTTTTTTGGAGTAAAGTAAACATTTTATTTTTTTCTATTAAGGTTTCGGAAACTGATTATTTTTTTCTATTTTTCTAGGATTTCGATTTCGTGGCGCGTTTAAATCAAAGAAGATTCCAAATGAAATATTGGAAGATACGTGTGATTGATCCTAAAGATTCTTCGAATTCCCCCAGGCCCAGGCACCGTCGAATAACTGGTTACATGTTAAGTACCAACTTTAGAGGATCGTCCGATATCCAGGGAGTTGGGGCATTACCCATGCCACCCATGCCCAAGTGCAGCTTGACATAACTGCTTTTTCATCGTTTATTGATAACGTGACTGAAGAAATACAGCCGAAAAGATATGGATAAGAGGTAAGTTCATAATACATTTTATACTTGTTGGGGTTATTCTAAAATTCTAATACGGCATTTCTCTATCTGCAGATAAAGCAGCTCAGCCCTTAAAGAAATGAAAATAAAGGTTCGCGTCGCGCCGTGGTTCCAAAGCGGTATTTAGGTGCTTTCACATAGACCGTAATTTCATTCTGTTTTTAATACTGCAACTTAGACATGGCTAATACCCCAACTCCCTGGACATCGGACGATATACTCATTATTTTTGCTAATTTATTCACTGAAAGTTTACAAGCGTTTGCATTATTATTGTTTTAATACTAAAAATAATATTAAAACTAACTTTAATATCTGACGAAATTATATACCGGGTGCGTCTCAAAAGTGGCTCACCCCTATAACTTTTTTATTTTTTCAGATAAAACAACTAGATTTGGTATGTTAGTATATGACATAAATTAGGATTGATTGACATATTCAATTGTTTTCGGTCACTTCCGGTTTCACCGGAAATGACTACAACTTTTTATTTTTAAATGACACCCTCGGTATTTTTTTACTTTATTCTCTACACTCCATAATTAGAAATTAGTGTTTTTAACACAGCCATGTAAATTGAAATTTAAAATACAATTTGTTTTTGAGCGAATATGTCAAAAGTTGACATATGATATGTCATTCGATTCAGAGTGTCATTTTCTATCGAATAAAGTAAAAAATACCGAGGGTGCCGTTTAAAAATCAAAAGTTGTAGTCATTTCCGGTGAAACAGACAGTAATCGAAAACAATTGGATACGTCAATCAATCCTAGTTTATGTCATATAATAACATACCAAATCTCGTTTTTTTATCTAAAAAAAAATAAAAAAGTTATAGAGGTTCACCACTTTTGAGACGCACCCTGTAGTAACTGATAAATTAACTGAGTTGGGTTAAACTGCTTTACAAAATTATTTCTTTGATCTAAAATTTATTTTACAAAAACTTTTTTCCAACATTTTTATTAACTAAGCCCGCGGTTGCATTGGACGCGGGTCCGTGCGTTTTTTTATACGTACGAGCTCTGACGGCATTTACTCGCACGACTATTTTATTTTAGTGGTTACATTAGATGCGCGTTCATGGTGTCCTGTGTGTCGAATTTGTCAAAACGGGCGCCATTACTGTGATGCTGTCTGAGGATATAATGTTAAAATAACTAACTACTTATGAAAAGAAGAAAATGTTGAGTAAATGATTTATATGCAAGAAGAGGAGAAGAAAATTAATAAAAACACACATTTGGTGAATTAAGACACGAAACGGTGAAATTTTTTGAATACTTTAGAATGTCTCCATCAACCTTAATATATCCCAAATAAAATTAAACGCTCGGACGTGCACGTATTAAAAAAAACAGTTTGTTTTCACCCGACCAACAGAAATTGACGTACGTGCACGGACGCGCAAACTCCGATGCAATGTAACCGCCTGCATAGATACCATTTGTTTGTTTTTTGCTAGGTGCACGTCCGAGGACGTACGACCAAAAAAAAAACGACTCGCATCCAATGTAACCACGGGCTAAGTAAATTACTATTAAATTTATTTAACCCTACTACTTTTTTTCATTTTTTTTAAGTTTTTTTAAATGTTTTAAAGTTCTCATTAAATGTCCCTCTATAAGAAAAACGAAACCACCTTATTATATTCAAGCTAAATTAAATTAACTATTTTTTTTCTTAAAAATTAAATAATTTTTTTTTCTATTTAAAATTCTAATTAGTTACTTTCGTATACAAAAAACAATGATAATTTTTGAACATAACTCTCATTGGTACTTCTTCGGAACGAAGATTATTGTTGAAAGCATCTGGATTAGGGTCATTCTCCAGAAGGGCAATAATAAAAGAAGAAAAAAATATATGCAGAATGAAAATAAAAATTGCAGCTGCCTTTGTTCTACGTTTTGGTATTTTTTTATTATCTCTACCGTATTTTCTTTATTTGAAGGCTGTCTTTTGTCCTTAGTATTTTACACTATTATAAAAATTCTTTGAGTAATAAAATTTAAATATCTTCTTATATATTTAGATAAATAGATCCTCAGTATCTTATAGAAATACTTGTTACTTATAGTATTTTTACTTGTAGGTATACATATATTTTGAAGCTTCTGGCTCTTTTCCTCCTCCTCTTCCTCATCTTCAACAGGATTCAGCAAAAATTTCTCCTGCTCCTTCACAATATACCAAAAGGAAAAAGGTTGGTTCTACTGTATATTATATGTATAGGCGTCTATTTTTATTCTGATACTGTTGTAAAACTTTGATAATCTGTACAAATTTTAGACTTTAAAAATGCCATTGTACTACATTTTTGACACCAAGTAACAATTTTAATATACTGACTACGCTGTCATAATAATTATGACAGATAAAATAGAGATATAAAAATAATTATTATTTTTATATCTGTATTTTATTTAATAACTTTTGTAGTGTATTTCTTATGACAAGATTAACACAGTTCTTTGGTATATTTTACTTGCGCAAAAGCGACGCTATAATGTGGCAATATGAAGACATTGTTTTTTAAGGACATCAAAAATTTTGTTTTTAATGTTCTTGCAGTTTACAGTCTATTGCTTTCAACTGTGCATATGGTTTTTAAATCTGACTAACATTTTGCTAATGTTAATTTATACAGTTCTAATTCCAATTTAAATTGTTCATACATAGAAAGAAATATTTAATATATACATATATAGACTGTACTGTAGCATATCTAACATTTTATTATCATTATTAATTTTTTAAGTTTTTAAAAATTATATATACAGGGTGTCCCAGAAATAAGTGCAAATGTTTTAACTGGTAGTATAGTTCAACCCTAAAAACACGCCTATGAGGTTTTTTTCGCGAAAAAAAAAAATTTTAAATTCGAAATTTTTTGAAAATTTTTTTGGAAATTTTTTTAGTTATTAGTTAAAAAACATAATTTCTTGATAATATGAAAACATAGGTATTAGATTAAATTTACAAGAAAAAAATCCCTAAAAGATCCAGTGGTTCACAAAATTTTAGCAAGAAATCATTTTTTTTGGAAATTTTCAAAGTAAAATAACTCCGTTATTTTGGACTTATTTGAAAAACGATAAAGAGAAAATATGTTTCTTTTATCGAGATCTACCACCCCTTAAAATATTTCTACTTATTTCTGGGACACCCTGCTATATTATATTAGAGCTGCAGATTTTTAGTGAATTTCTTTGTCCTCCTTTTTTTTTGGAACTTTAAAAAATTAATAATTATAGTTCAAAAAAGGCTAATTTTATTTGGAATGAAGAATCTAATTTCATTAAAAACATTATTATTTTTTTATTTAAGCAACTAGGTAAATTATTATCAGTTCATTTAATCAGTTTATTTAGTAGGTTTCAAAGCAATGTACTGTTTAATAAATTATATTTTGTGGTATTTGTATTCACAGAGCTACTTTTAAAAATTAAAATAAGCACTCTAGAGGTTTTTAATTGTTTATCATAAGGAGATTTGTTGCAAATTTTCAATAAAATACTATATTATATTAACATATTATTAACTAATGTAAGTAATTTAAACTTTTAAATATATATTTCTAGGTTACAGTTGGGGGTTAGAACCTTAGGTATACAACAGCAAAATAAAACACTAATTAATTTTTATTTTGCTGTATTGTACAATATATATACATAGAGTTTAAATAGTATTAAAAAATACTATTTAAAATTTATTATGTACTTTTTAGAAAGGTATATTTAATAATTTAAGTTACGTTAGTTAATTCTGTGGTTAATTGTTATGTTAACAAAGTATATAGTCTAATATAACGTCGATGGATTTGTTTGTCTAATATGTATGCAACTAAACATACATCCATTGTATAACTGTATACTGTATGCCCATTAACTTTATTTCTTTATATTTATATTCCTTTATTTTATTAAAAATTATTAAATTCAGCTAGAGTACTTATTTTAGTTAAGTATTATCCATGCTAATATACTTGATCAACTCCATTTTTTTGTACTCCACAATGTGATATTTATTACAACACAATTGTAAACATTGTTACATATGAACTTTCAAGTTCATATGTAACATAGTTGAGTATGCGCACTATGTAGTTGTAAGTACCGTATGATCGAAAAAAACAGCGTCCAGTTGGCTGGAAAAAGACGATCGGTGACATTTCCCATACAAATTTACATATAAAATGACAGCGATCTTCATTTCATAGCCATTGCTGACGCCGTTTTTTTTACGATCATACGGTACATTGTGCGTCGTGTATTGTATTAATAAACACGTGTGTGTGTGTATGTGCGGTATGCACATGCAACACGGACAGTAGATAGATACTATTATAATAAATAGTATCTACGTATCTGTATGTGTTGTGTGTAGAATAATATAAACCTTATTGTTTTTTTAATTTTCAATAAATCCGTTTTAAAGAAAATTCTGGTTTTAAGACCAGAGCCACCAGAGGGCGCAACATGTAGCGTTTAGTCCAATGTTTTATCGTTAGATGGCGCCACAAACGCGCTTTCAGTTCAGCCTTTTGCCACCAGAGGGCGCCACATATAGCGTTTAGTTCAGTATTTTATCGCTAGAGGGCGCCACAAACACACTTTTGGTTCAGCCTTTTGCCACCTGAGGGCGCCACATTCGCTCAAAAAAATAAAACAACCAATATTTGGGAAAATTAATTTATTATACCACTTAAGTTAACAAAAAGAGCTTCAGGCTAAAGTCTTATGTTATATTTAAGGGTTTTTGGTGTTCGTCAGTGTATATGTTTTAGACACTGAGGACAACAAAGTTCTTGTGTTGGTGTGATCACATATACATACAGCAGTGAGTGTGGAGATATATCTCCATATCTCCAATGTTATAACATTCACACAAACTACTGTGTGTATATGTGTGAGACGTGTACTAAACGCACACGTACAGGAGTATGGGTGTGCCACACCCCAACACAAAACTTCTATGGCTATACCGAGAAAAAAAACAAGGTGGCATAAGTTCTTCCAAAGCCGCCTTGGTTCCTGGCTCGGTGCAGCTGAAATCATTTCTATAAAAACAAATTATGTTAAAATCAGAACTTTGAATTAAAAAAGTTAGCAGATTCTGGACCTCTACATGTACTATATATAAGTATTAAAGAATGACCATAAATAAATTTAATAAGAAGTTATTAAACTAACATAAAAATTAGAAAAAATAAAACTTTATAAGTAGTAAGTGAAAATAAAAATGTAAGAGGGAAAAGAGTTCACCCATCAACAGTTCTAAGGTGCATTATACGAGAATTGTAAATTAATTAAAATAATAAATAATTATTTAATTACTGTAGTAACTAGCACAGACTATACAAATGCGACGCGCAAAGCAAATGTTAAAATTACATATTGGCGAATGCGCCGGGCCAATTTAAACTTAGTTTGTAAAGTAGTTACTTAGGTTAAATTTTTCGTAATAAGATTTAATTTCGTCAGTGTAACGTGATAACTTGCTAACTCCATTTTTGATTTTAAGTAAATAATACATTTAATACATGATTTTTATGTAAAATTTTTAACGAAATATTAAGTTTTATTGTTCCCCAACAAAGATAATTGTTATCTCTATATCATATTAACGTATGAAATATATACGCACAGATGTTTTTGTACCGTTTCTTTTCTCTCTTCTAAAATTATGAATAATGGAGTTAGCAGTTTATCACATTTCACCGACGATTTATTCTTTTTTGTCATATATTAAGCTATGCATATATTTTTTATAAGGCGGGTTTTGTATCTTGATGCCTCAGAGGTATTCGACGGTGCCTGGGAGAATCCGAAGAAGCTTTAGGACCAATTCACGCGTCTTGCAATATTTCATCTGGAATCTTCTTTGATTTAAACGCGCCACGAATTCGAATTATCCTAGAAAAATAGAAAAAAATAATCAGTTTCCGAAACATAATAGAAAAAAATAAAATCCTTACTTTAGATGGTTTTAGGCTGAGCTGGGGTATGCTAGCCTCTCCATCCCGAATCTCTACCCATAAATCGATGTCAGGCAGATGCAGAACAAAAAATTCTTCATGTCGCCTCCGAGGTGTGGTTGCCCTCTTCTGTAGATTTGACCTTTTTCAATGATTATGCCTTGCCTCGTCTGTTAAACAGCCTTATCTGAGATCAACCCCTGTCCTATCGAGCGACCTATCGGTACCTATGCATGCTACATAGGTCATCGTAAAGCAGAATATCAAGTTCGGAGATTATCCAGGTCTGCCTGTTCGGAAGAAGGCAGCGTCACGCTCTCGAGCGTCACCCTTTGATCCAAACCGTCGAGACACCATCGGCAAAATTTACTTACGTAAATTTCATTAACTACCTTCGAGTTAAGTAATAATATCCTGCCGCTTCAGTCGCTGGGCGACAGTGTGCTGATGTGTAGTATTAAATCGCGTCTAAAAAGAAAAGAAAAAACACTGTAGAGACTTTGTGAAAATAAAAAGAGAAAAATAAAATTCACAAATTCACAGTATGTTACATATCACAGTCATAAATTCCAAAAAATCTCATAGGTATCATAAAATGTCTTTATAAATCAACAAATTTTTCGATAGGTATTGTTTTATTTATACTGATGTTTATATCGTATCACAGTACAAGAAAAACCATAAAATCGCTGTTACGTAAGGATATAGGTAAAAACGATATTGAATAGTAGTTATTAAGAGAAATAAATAACATATTACATATAAAAAAAATTAAAGTTACATATCACGTCATATACCCCTAAATTAATTAGACTCCATAACGATTTAAAAATGTACTCATATTTTGAAGAGGCTGAACGATGTACAAACAAGAATTTTCAAAGAAACAGTCTACATCAAAACATACATTTTATTAAATAAGACAAAAATTAAGTAGTCAGGTAACAAAACATAGAAGCGTCAAGTTATTTCCTAATATATAAAGATCATCAGTAAACATTACATAAATGGGAGATATTTAATTTTTGAACTTCTGAATAATTTCAAACTGATAATAAGGCCCTTTGTCAGGAGATACTGCATTAATATCAACAAATTAACAACTATTAATAGTAATATATTTTTTCCTTATAATATTCCGAAACATTTAAAAAGTCACCACTTAGCTACCTATTACATAATAGAATGAAATAAACAGCATTAAATGTTTTGAAAATGTTCACGAAATGTGGGATATTTAAAGCACTGTTAGTAGATGTTACACTGTTAGAGTTGTTTATAAAAATCTATATACAAGAATAATATCTATAATGACCTTAAGACAAATCGAAGACTATTAATTAATGATATAATTAAAATAGCCAAAAAGCCATGACGGTTACAAAAAATCTTAATCGAGATATAATGAAATATAAAGCAAATACCTATATCAAGTACTCACTTTTTGGAGAGGCTAAGCGATGCACAAACAAGAATTTTCGAAAAAGTAGTGTACACAAAATTCACTTTTTATTAAAAAATATCACAAAATTTCAGATCAGTACCAGAACATCAATATCTTAAAAACTTACAAAATCAGAACTCAGAACGCCAAGAGATGCATCTCTTGGCGTACAAAATCAAGATGTCCGACACCAATTTCCGAAAATAGTCATGACATGTGACTTGACCAATAAGAAGGAGGTATTTTCATATAGCAAAAATCACAGCCGTCTTTGTTAACAATGTTATTTTATTTTAATTTTAGATAGTGGGTTAAATTACTAAAAAGTAGGTCAAAAAAATGACTCAAGGAGAGACACATAATAGACTTGTAAAAACGCGGTAATTAACTATTAACACCCCCCATCCCCATACATTCTACATTTTACTCTTAGTTGTTACTCTATTACTCTTATTCCAACCACGCAATACAATTTAAAGAGCAAATAATAAAATTAAACTTACATTTTCTCATAGAATGCTTCTGTTTTTAAATTGTTAGAGTAGTTGAAAAACTAAGGACATGAGATAGCACATCTGATACTACTGTTCTACAAACATCAAGATCATCCAACACTTCCAACAGTATTTGAAAAATATTCCCTAAAAAATAAATTAAATTTAGGTTTTCCAAATAAATATTTCATTCAAAATATTTCTATAATAAATTGCTAACATGAAGGGCAAAAGAAAAAAAACCGACGATGTCACAAAACCGACTTATGGAAAAAACGATGAATTAATATTGCCAAATACCATGTTAAAGATATAAAAATTTATTACGGTATGCTTTATAATTTGCACATCGTTCGTTATATTCAATTAAAGTTTAACATATGTTGAGACTTTTTTTGTTCTATTCTTAACAAATAATTGGATTGATATACTTAAAAATTCTATAAAATGGGCATCGTCGGTTTTTTAATAAAATAAAAAGTATAGCCTGAAAAAATATATTCTTATTGTTATATTGTCTATATAAGATAATTTACACTTATATTAAAATAGCACATACGCAACTCGAATTCTAGATTTTAAACTCATGTGCGAGGATTTTAGTTTTACTTGCTACTATCTTTATTATTTGATGGGAAAAATAGGAAAATAAAATAATAAATGCCTGGACATAGGCTACGAATTCTAAACGGACCAATCACAATGTGGAGAGAAAGGGAGACATTTAATAAAATTATATTCACACCCATATCCAGGGCCTATTTTACCATAAGGCCCGGTGGTCTGGGGGGCCCGATAAAGGTTGTAAAATATTCATAATTTCTTGAATTTTTGAACTTTATTGGAAAAGAGGGCCCGAATTTTTGCTTGGGCCTTAGGGCCCGACCAGATGAACCATAGACCCTGCCCATATCTCTTCTCATATGAATATTTATATGGGACCCCAATTATTTGAAAGATTATGGGGAAAAGTCTTTCATTTATGCTCTTCTTTTAGAAGCAGAACTTCTTAGAGAAATTCCTCAAACAATAGTTAAAGAAATAAAATTATATTAAATTTTATATAAATCACTATACAGGGTGTCCCAGAAATAAGTGCAAGTATTTTAAGGGGTGGTAAATCTCGACAAAAAAAACATATTTTCTCTTTATCGTTTTTCAAATAAGTCTAAAATAACGGATTTACTTTGAAAATTTCCAAAAAAATTGATTTTTTGCTGAAATTTTGAGAGCCACAGGATCTTTTCTGGATTTTTTTTCTTGTAAATTTAATCTAATACCTATGTTGCCATATTATCAAGAAAGTAGTTTTTTTAACTAAAAACTAAAAAAAATTCCAAAAATTTTTCAAAAAATTTCGAATTTTCAAAAATTTATTTTCGCTAAAAAAACCTCATAGGCGTGTTTATGGGGTTGAACTATATACTACCAGTTAAAATACTTGCACTTACTTCTGGGACTCCCTGTATAAAGCTCTTAGATACTCTTTTAATTATAAAAATAATAATTATGTTCGAGTGCATTTTCAACGGAAATAAAAATATATAAACAATAAACAAAACGTTACTTTTTAAAACAACTTTATTTTTTTGTGCTTTTAGAAAAATTATGTATGTTACTGTTAAAAAATACATACCTATTAGACATATTGTCGACTTCTTATATTATAATCAGCTGGGTACCCGTTAGTTTTAAATTTCACCATATTGAAAGGTTCTTCTAGTCTCTTGAGAAAAGTTCTGGTTAATTAGATACCATAGTCTTCCTGGAAAATAGGTGGGATATGGAAGGAATAATAAGGTTGTGAATGAGATGAAGGACAGGACTTGATTTCCCCCTAGTATTAGGAGATAGAGGAGAATCAAGACTCGCGTGGGCAGGGTCGTATCCCTGAAGTAGTCTTTCCTCCACCGGGGTCGTAGAGAATAGGCTACCCGCTACCCAAATAAATAATTACTTAAAACATTACTTAAAGTACCCTACGATAAAAAAAAACGCCGGCCGGAATCGATGATAATTTTAGTGAGGTCAAGCCCTAGACGTCATTTACTCTTACCGTGCCCTTCTTTGTTTTTTAATGGCACTTACTGCTGTATATACTATAAGAAGGTTGTAATTTATTTTTATATTGAGTAAGAATGATTTTTAAATTCTATAGTAAACTCTGAGAAAATCATTTTTTGGAAATTACAAATTTATACATTTGTGTCTGAGAAAATCATTTTTTGGAAATTACAAATTTATACATTTGTGTCTGGAACCGTTTTGCATCCTTTTTAATCTTTATAATTTAATCTAAGTTTTATGACAGTTTTTAGTAAATGACGTCTAGATATTGACCTCGCAAAAACTATCAGCGGTTGTCATTTCCCATATACGGTATAATGAAATAAAACAGCTTATTTTATTATTATTTATTGACTTTTTAAAATCTTAGCTATTTTTCTTGAATAATAGAAAAAACAAAATTCAATGTATATATAATTTATACAAACACAATATATAAAATAAAATCTCTACAAAAATATTGATTGTTCCAAATCGATCGATAAACTTTGATGCTTTAAAATAAGATTTTTGTACTTTACTTAAGTTTGTATAACAGTTTTCACCACACTGCAAAGCACAAGGTGTTCGTTTCGTAAAGTTAATTAAAATTATTTGTATAAAGTGCGAAATGTATTATTTCGATTAATGCTGTCCCTCCTTTTACTCTAAAATATTTAAAGATATGTCTTGAAGTCGTAAAAATGTACTAAAATCGAATTGATACATTTCGCTTTTGTTGTAAAACTTCTAATGTTACATGTAAGTTAAAATTAACTATTTATAAAAAAAATGCTTTTTTACAAACGTCGTATAAATTAATCTGAGTATAGTGACCACTAGACAATAAGAGTAATTTGTATAGCAACATGCTCTTATATAAATATACAACATCTTGGACGCCACAACACTTACAAAAAACCAAGTCTTATTTATAACTTACTTAACGACCGTTAAGACAGTACGATATCAATAAATTACAACATATTCGTCCTTTTGCGTATCGAAAACCCGGATACCTATTCAAATGTAGTATCAAACATGTTTAGGTCTCCAAACGGAGCTGCCCCTGACCCATCTAACATCTGCAGCATGTCCGTCAGTTCATGAGGTTGGGGTTGCGCAGGCGGTCCAGAACTGCCAGATCCAGGACCTGCTTCTGAAGTTTGTGGCGCTCCTTGCCAGTTGGCCCACTGGTAAGAAGCGGGACCTGGCGCGGGGACTCCGGCCGAAGCCGCGCGCCCTCCTCCGCTCAACTGGGTGTACGTGGGCCCAGGAGAGCGTGGACTCGGCTGACCGTACTGATAGCCGTCTGGGGCTGACTGCGTTTGGGGCTGTGACTGGCGTAGGCTCCAGGCCGCCGCGGCAGGAGTTGGGCTGGTGGTGCTCCCTTTACCCAGCCGCGCAAGTACGGCAGCACCCCCCGAAGTTGCTGGTGTTTGGGAAGGTGATCCGTACTGGATCGGCGATTGCGTAGGTTCATAGGCGCTATAAACATTTTGACCGCTTCCAGGGCGCTGCTGAGCTTGCTGAGGATCGGTCATAAGCCTCGGAAATCTTTCGTCCTGCCGTTCACTGCAGCCCGAAGATGTCATTGGCAGATAATCCCCTTGTAGGTGGGCTGACGGTAATATGTGCGAATAGAGTCCTGCCTCCCTCCGCTGAAGGCTGTAATCCAGGCCGGGTTGTTGGTAGCCTACTTGTTCCGTAGCTTCGGTGCTGTTATTTCCGCTGGAATGCAGCGATTTAGCTGTGGTATTCGTACAGACAATGTATTCGACATCGTCCGTGTAAGGGTTCAGGAAAGAGAACGCACTTGTCCTAAGCCAGACCCATTCTCGATTTTTTGCTCGGAACCGATACATCACCGACAACACTTGGCCTTTTAGTTTCAACACTGAAAAAAGGTCTCATTAAATTCTGCTTCTAATAAAAACAAAGAATTAATAAATTTAGAATTTTTACCTACCCTGTTCAAAACTGTCCTTCATATGTGTCTGGTCTTCAGGATGGAACATATCAAAGCAACTCTTCCCCAGCAGTTCCGGCGGGGAATAACCTAAAAGCCCCATGACTCTCTGATCCACAAAGGTGAACTTGCCATCCGTCGAATGACGTGATATAAATTCAGCATTGCTGTTGGATCCCGACATGTCGCTGGTGTTGGGCGTTGACGTCACTTGGAGGCGCCCGATCGCAACTAGGCAACAATGCGCCGAATGCATGTCATCCTCCGCTTGTCTCTCCATTTGCACACCTGCGAACATATCTGATATTTCCTGCGGTTTAATTTCTATAGCAACAGAATAGTTTGATATGAAAAAAAGGTCGAGGGAGCCAGTTTCATATTAAAGCATCTGCACCACTTACCTGTAGGAGGCCAATTTTTGATGTAGCCCGTACAGTGGACTACAGCATAGTTTTGCCCATCGCGACCAGGCCCTAAACTATTCCTCTGTTTCAGCCTGTTTAAGTGGCCCACACCCATGTTCTCGGGAGACAAGTTGCCGATCTTCATTCGACAGATAAAGCCTCTTCGGGAACCCATGCATAACCTCATGGACGCTGGAATTTAAGAACAAGCATACATAGTTAAAATAAAAACAGGACGGATAGGAAAAGCAGTATATGTGGACCAACAAACATTACTTACACTGATGTCCTTCCTTTTTAACTGTTCCAGTTTTCAGGTCTAGTATCCTACCGGTTTGTGGCTCTTGTGTAGACAGCTGTTCCCTAACTTTTTCAACGTCTTCGGGATGAATATTGTCGTAAATGCAAGACCCATACCAGTCGCTCTGTGAGTAATTCAATACAGGAGCCACCGAATCGGATACATAAATTACCCGACCTGTATCACAACTAACCACAAAAAGGAATCCATCAGCTGCCTCGAGGATCAGATGCTTCAGCTCTTGGTCAGTTAAGAAGGACGGCTTGTAGGTTCCGTCTGTACTGGTGTTTCCGGTACCTGAAATCACACGACATTCAATCCATTAAGCAATTTTAGCCTGGCCGAAGTAAGTTGAATTTCGAAACAATTACGTGGTATATCAATTAGTCAACGCGTCGAGTTTTAGTATTTCAGACAGGTACAGTATTTTGAATAAAAATTATTGACGTTCTTAGAAGTCCCTATCGGATATGTAAAACGCACTATGCATAAAAATGAACTAACGAGAACATCGCCTTGTCTTTCTTTGTATACCGTTTCATTAATAGTTACTTTTTGCATAGTAATAATAAAATATGGCGCCACACTATATCGTTTCTTTTTCTTTTCTCTAGCGTAAATATTTTTATTAATTTAACGGTAAAATAAAAAAGAAACGTAAGAATAAGACATTTTAAGCAGTTGTTGCTACCATAGTCTGTAGACCGGAGATACCACTAAACCATGCAAAATAAATTATTTATTACAGAGGTAGCTCCCATTTTTTAAACAGTGTATTTCATTTTTTTCTGTATTTTTTTTTGCATGCAATTGGGTTTGTTGTAGAAGTATATCATTTACTACCTTATATATAGAGACTGAAACTGTAGTCTGGCCGACTAACTGAGACTCGAAGTCTCAATACATATACTGAGACTTTCAAAAATGGAGAACAAATACGTTCACGAATTACAAAGTATTAGTATGAGTGAAAAAAAATAATTTTAGCCGATGTAGTATACTGGTCCATACATGCATACATACATACTGGTCCACCAACCAAATAAAGGTGCATTTATTATTACTCCGATTCTTTAAGTTTAGTTGACCAGTATATACATTTGCTTTGAAAGGAATGTTTAGTTAAATATTTATCTAAGACATGCAAGACTGAAGGTCTGGCACATTACCATTACTGCGCAAGTAGGCTTTTCCATTAATGCTAGTTTTCTCCGTGGATGACATTTCCCGACAAAGCTCTTCCTCTGTAAGGAGATACAATATTTTTAGTAAGCAATCACTGTGTCGATATCATCATACTTAAAAAATACATGCACATAACAGTTTCAATATTTGCATTAAAAATATTGTAATATTTTACGGAAAAAACTCTACTTGCTCAATAATTAATAACGCGAGAAACAAAAAATATAAATTCCGTGCCTAGAGAAATGTAGTCTTTTTTATATAATTTAGGAAGTATTAAGACCAAAATGAAAAATAAACGGACCCATAAATAACCAATAAAGCTCCATTTTCTTAACTGCTTATCGACAGACTGTCCGTAATATTGTAGCGGTAAAACGTGGCAAAATTTTACGGCAGAATTTTCCAAATGTAATTGCATCAACTTTGTATTTTATGGGTCGTTTAACGTTATCAGCCCTAGCATGAAGTAAATTCATGTCCGGCAAAAAATTATTACGTTTTTTAAACCATAATTATCTGGAACAGGTACCAACAACGTAAAGTAACATCAATACTAAACCTTCTTGTTTAAAAAATAAATAGTAACGTGTTGATGATGCTAGACAATATTAATAAACAAAATATTATTTAGTTTTAATCGTTCGACATAGATTGAATTTGGAAGTTGACCTGTCAATTAAAACGATTAATTAAGACTGACAGGTAAAAACTTATGTCACTGTGTAGACAAAAAGTTTAACTATTTCTCACCGATAAAAATCGCTCCTTAAGCTCATATCTTTTTCATAATTTGTGTTTAATAAAGCTATATAATATTTTACTAGGGTGTTTATACCATACGATAAAAAAAAACGGTTTTGGCGATGGCTATGAAATGAAGATCGCTGTCATTTTATATATAAAATTATATGGGGAATGTCCTCGATGTTCATTTCCAAGCCAACTGGAAGCCGTGTTTTTTTTTATCATATACCGTATGAATCTACAAGTATGTTTTAAGCAAATAGTTCTTTATGTAGTTAAGTAAAAATAATGTTTTAATAAAAAATCAAGTCACGCGAAAATTCACCAAGTTTAGTCACATTCTTTTTTATTTTCCCTCTACCATTTTCCCTTTATTGAAACAATTCATTAATGAGTAAACACGTGAATGTGTGTGGATTTTCCTACTGCCTCGATGTTTGTTTTCCAGTTCAGAATTGAACGTTATCGTCCATTATTTTATTTGGTATTTGTTTTATTTAATTTTTTTTTCATAAGCTCCAAATTCAACGCCATTTTTATTTTTCATTGCGCTATTACGTAATATCAAGAAATTAATGATCAATGAAAAGCTTCTTTATATATGTACAAATAGATTTTAAAAAATGTGTATATTTGAAGAGAAAACTCTTCTTACTTCCGTCTGTCCCTCTGTCCGTCTGAGGATTCAGTTTGGATACCTCTATCCACGTGCCGAGTTTGGTTCCAATCGACTCATAATTAAGAAAAATCCTGATGATTTCGTCCACTTAGAGCTATCGATTCTGATAGCTCAAAAAAAAACATAGAAGGCGTCATCTTGTAGTCCGTCCCCAATTATGCCGAAATCGACCCATATTTTTCTTCAATATCAAATCCTTAGTCCCACCCTGATGAAGATGTAAACGAAACGTCGTATCCAACTTTGCAGGGTGGGACCGTGTGCACCGTCGCTCACATAGCCTACCCACCAAATTTTGTTGCGAACGGACGACATCAACTTTTGACGTTTCTTACGTCAATACTAACTGTCACACATATCGTACATGGTCAAGCAATGACTAAGGAATATAAGAACATGTAACGCCCATATACGGGCTGCAGCAGAATTTGTGACCTTAGTACCTTCATCAGCTGATCATCAGCGACAATTTTAGCGATTTTTAATAGTTTGTGTATAGTAAACTTTGTATAAACTTTATTACACTGGCGATTAGTTGTTCAGCTTTCAAGTGTAAAAGCCGCAGCGATAAGAAAGAGCCAGGAGTTACGTTTTTCATAGATAAATAAACAGTCCGCTCCACCTTTTTAGCGTTTTCTTAGTTTTCTTTTTGAATTCGATAATTATTTTTCTGATGTTATAAGTATGTACTTGATGTGTGCTATACGTCGATAATAGTTTTGTACCTTTTGTTAACATTTAACACCGTATACACCATAGGCGCAGTCAAAACAATTATCAAAAAATATAAATATCTCTTCAAACAGCTAAGTTAAGAAAAATATGTACCACGGCACTGTTTGGTGACATGGTAACAATTTGCTCTCGGGTGTTATTTGTACTTGAATTCTTTAGTCATTGCGGTCAAGTTGGCCTTGGTCCAATATCGACATACCAATCGTGGCTCCTCGAGCCCCATCTACATTCCGAGTTTCAGCCCCCTAGCTCACATAGGGCCAGAGTTATGGCGCTCCAAAGACGCATCTCAACTTTCTCATAGTATTACCACTTTTTTACTACGCTAGCTCATTTGTCAAGGCCGTGTCGTGTCAAGGCCATGTCGTGTCACGGCCTTGAATTTTTACTCCGATCGCGCGTAAAGACGTCTCACTTCAATAATACGCCCATTCAAAACTTGGCATAATGTGACAGAATTTTTCGTAGAAAATAATTTTTTGTGGGCGTGTTTGTCAAAGTTTATCATTATAAATCATGGAATATTTGTAGTAAAAAAATATATATTCCAAGAATATCCGATATAGTCTCAGTCTGAATATTTTATGGCTAACGTCAGTCCAGTTTCACGATTAGTGTGATAATAAATTGTCCAATATAAGTGAGATTGGCTGTGCAAGAATAGTAGCTCTAGTTGAAGAAGGTGAATAATAGACCTAGGAGCGGTCCAAGATCAGTCTAATTTACCACCCAATACGTGTATAGACTGAGCCAACGCGAGCTGAGCAGCTTATTCATGCTCGCCCCGTGCCACCCTTCGCAGGAGGAAGTGCCTTCTTAATACTTGACCCCAACATGGGTCAGGTATTATGTCCGATGGCCGCACACAATTAATAATATGATCATCATGGCCGCATATAATTAATCCATGTTGAAAGGATAATGACGGATGACAGATATTCTTCATCCTTATGTAAGGCTATGGCGGCAAGCAGCTTTTAGGGATGCTTATCGTACCTTATCGTACCAGAGCTGTAAATGAGCATCTTGAAACTGAAGGGATCAATCGCTTGGACTGACCTGCCCTATCTCAAGACATGCACCCCATAGAACATGCTTGGCAGGGCTGTTTCACCAAGTAGAAATCCACACAGGAGTCTTCAAGAACTTGTACATGATGCACCGGAAGAATGGCGAAATATATCTAAACAGCATATCATCTGTTCAACACCATGGGTAGCCGTTTCCAGCTTGCATTATTTCACGTTATGGAAATACCCTTTTTTAAAGATTGACAGGTTTGCTTAAAAAATACTTTTTTATAAACATACGCTTTTATGTTTGAAAGAAATTATTATCAATAATAAAATTTAAAAAGGATAGTAGTAAACGTATATCTAGCGTTCTATTAAGCGAGAATGGCATGCCTGTAATGCCTCTTCGGTGCCCACCACCAGTAAAGTTCTTCGTCGGTCGGGAGGCGAAAAAAACCTGAAACCACCTCTGTGTAGGTCTAGGTTGGATGTACAGCGACTGGGGCCGTATTTACTTACTTTACTCCTGCACGGAGATGCTATCTCCCGTTAGTTATGGGCCCCATAATGCCTACTCCTCGCTAACTAGAATGAATGTCCTTATTATTTAATCCCAGTTGAAGATTTTGCGAAGACTACAAGCACGGTCAATCTTATTGGTCTCGAGAAAAAAAAGAAGTTAAAAAACAGCGTCTTCGGCGACCTAATAACTCTCTTTATCCAGAGCACATCTCTTTGGAAAAAGGGAAAAAGTTTATTGGAGCTTTATTGGTTCAAGACTTGCAGACGTTCTTGTATTTCTTATCTATAATTTATGTCTTAAGGAATTCTCAATTTGACGTTCTCGATATATAAGGCGTCAGGAGATTATGTACTTTTAGAATATATAAACATATAAATACCTAAATGCTCTGGTTTTGTGATAAACTTGACTTTTCTAACCCTTATTTTTAAGCAATTTTTGATAACTGTTAAAACTTCGCCTATTCTACTACGATACTCGTAAAGCTACAATGATATGTTCGCAATCTACGCCTTTGTATATATGGAAAAAAATCGACACAATGTCCATTTTTGGCTATTTTTTACACATTATCAAAGGCCTTAGAAGCATAGTAAACAAAGTAATAAAATTATGAGAATTACAAAAAAGATTCGATACGTCCAGTCTACACCTTTTAATTAGTAAATAACAACAGTTTTAATAAAATCGGTGACATGACGAAAATCGCCAATTTTCATGACTATATGTATTATGTATGGAAAAAGTCGAAAAATTGTCAATTTTTGGCCATATAGAAAATGCCATATCATATCTAGGATTCCAAGTCTACTGTGACATCACTTTCAACCTATTAACGATTCCTCTGAACGTGTCATCTTCTTACTATATACTGACTTTAATAACATTAAAGTTAATAATTATAATTATTAATAATAAATAGCATTAAAATTTGTATTTTTGTCTGAAAAATCTTTAAGTAGAATCATTTTACCAAACAGTATGTTCAGAAAGATTACTTCAAGCAATTCGGACACCCTGTATATGCGATATGGATATACATGAATATAAATATATGTGAATAAATAATATGTCATCGGTAGCAAGTTTTAAATATTCTAAAAGAAAAATAAAAGTGGAACAATATCAATGCCCACCAGTCTGTTGTACGTTACGAGGATTTTTATTCGAGAAGAAAAGGAAAAGCAAGAACAAGGTCCAACGTTTCCATGTATTGTTCGCCGAAGAAAAAAGTTTGCTCTATTTCAAGAAGGCAACTGTATAAAATATAGGTATGCGTGGGCGATACATGCATATGTGCATATAGGAATGGTAAAGGGCATTACGAATTTTGTAAAGCACCCGGTCTACTCTGCAGTTTTTGACGGAATTTTCTTTTTCTGCCAATTGGAATAAGTTAAATTTTAGTAGTTTAAAAACTGAAAAACTTTTGTTTGCTTTTAGTCTTAAGCGCGGTCCAGACGCAACGACTATCTAGCTAGATTTGCTAGAGTTGACAAAACGTTGCAGATAAAACGTAGGGTGTGGACAGCAAGCTTGAATATATTTTAGAACTGCACCAACTCGGAAGGCTGAGTTAAATGAGCTGAACTCCTGGGCACATATTTTGGCGGTTTGTACAGACAAGTCGTAGTGTATGGATGCCCACAACGATTTGTTGGTGGTTTTATTTTAATTTTAGTCAGCTAATCAATGGACAAATATGTCTGACATACGGCAATGTTCACACGAGTTAATCAGTAAGTTCATTGAACTGTACAAGAGTTTCCCTTGTTTATAGCGAGATCAAAAGAATACAGTGACAAGAAAAAATAAAAATCATGCCTACAAGATTATTATTGAATCAAGGACGTGAACCCTCAAGCGACTAGGGATACAGTAACAAAAAAAAAATAGAATTGTTTACGGAAAAAATTATCAAAACAATAAATATATTCGTTCGGGTGCTGGAGATGAAGATATATATAAACCGTGATATTTTAATTTACTTAATTTTCTGAACGATCAAGACAGTCCAAGAAAGTCTAGTAGAGACGTAGTTAAGACGTTAAAGCCCTTTTTAACTTATTTAAACAATTAGCAAAAACTAAACACAACAGTATTTCCTCCATGATGATATGCCAGAATACAAAAGACTGAACGACAAGTCGTTGTTATGTGGACAAAACTTGGTCTGTACGTTTTATCTGCAATATTTGCATACTTCGTATGATATGCTTGCTTCGACGATATATTTATATATTATGTTACTGTAAATGTCCGAAATGCGGTAAAACCTAGGTTTGGTTTGGCAACGCATTTCGAGTTGGTTAGCGTGGTTAGTTGGGGGGCGTTAATTCATTAGTAAATCCTAGGTTTAGCACGCTTATCCTAGGTTTTACCGCATTTCGGACATTTACAGTAACATATATATCAAGTCGTTGCGCGTAGACCGCGCTTAAAACATTTTACTGATAATTTTAATCAAAACATCTGATCTAGACAACAGAACATAAAATCGTATTTTTAATAGGTAAAATACAATATGTATAATCAAAAAGTTCGTACGATGAGAGCTTTTTTTAAAGAACCGCGAAAATCAGTCTTTTAGCTTGATAATCAAATTTTTGGATCACATGTTACGTCTAGTATATTTACAGTCTAAAGCCCGGTCTAAACACCCGGTTTTACTTTCTAGGCTTAAGGTTGTCGTATTCAAGTAAAAGTTTAAAAACGTGTAATTTTGACGCTTAAACGTAGAGAGGAAATTAAAAAACTGATGGTGTTTATCTATTCGATCTTAAAAGTAAACTGTCTTACCTCTGAGTGCTTTCATGTGCGCTACGGCCATACGGAGGATGGTGAGCTTGTCAGGTTTTCTGGCAAGTGCGCTGCAGGTGGGCACCATGTCTGACAGCTCCGTAATGTAGGCTGTCATCTTATTTCGGCGCCTTCTCTCAATTTCGCAATGATTCTCCCTACAGTAAGTTGTAAGAAAAAGCCAACGGTCATTACATATTTTGTCTAAGATAATTTATTTTCTTTAGTAAATTTTATTTTAAAAATGTAAACAAATCATCCAAATCACCCATCAATCATTTACTGTAAAAGTAACATATAAAGTCTATTCGGTATACAGGGAAACACTAAAATACTTACAAGAACTTTTACCAAACATCTATAATTTATTACTATATGCGTATATCTTTACATTTTGCCAAGCTATTTCAGAATGTCCTTTTGTCCTTATATCCATAATTCAGGCGCTAAGCTCGCCACTGTCGTCACATTATCAAGTTCTGTTTTGCCAAATCTGCAGATTCGGCCGACTCGGACAAAGACTGTGTTGGAATGGTGAGGCTTCTTAGAAGTTGACTACACATATTTGTTGTAGCACAAGTTGTAGGTGAGCTCAACGAGAATTTTAGAATTTACCCAAACGTGGCAGAATAACATAAGGGGAGAAATCTTGCACTCTATTAAGTACCCCCAACATATATGAACCTTTTATACAGGGCGGTGCGTGTAAGGCAGCCGATCAGGGCAGTAAAAAAATGATCGTTAGAAAAAGTCGAGCGCGTCAGTTTAAGGCTTAGTGAGTTAATTACATGCTGAAAAGTGGGCATTGAATCAATCTGACGATTTAAGCATGACATAAGAAAATAGAAGAGTCAAAAAAAGTCACCTGGACATTCTCGAGTGTAGTTATTTACATTATGTTGAAAAAAATCATTCGGGAATAAGATAATTTACCGATTTCTACAAGCCGATGTATTTAGAATTATCAATAGTGTGGTGTGCTGGGAATTATGTGTTTCTATATAATAAATCTATTATGACTTTTGGTCGCGTCCAAGTCGTCAGTCTTTTGAATAGGATTTTTTTTTGGGTTGTTCCTCATAATCCTCCAAAAAATCCTCAAAACCGCATCACATAGTTTATGGACGCCCCTAAAACGAAAATCTGTTGTGTCTGAAACACTAACTGTTTTAACGCTATTCATTTAGAATTAAATTACAAACTTTAAAAATAAAAACAAACTGAAATAATTGCTATGATCGGCATGCGAGAGGCAACTTGAATTAATCCAAAGCAACATTTTAAGCAAGTAAATTACAAAATTCCACGGAAAACTAAACCGAAAAGAGAAGAAAAATAACGGCAACCTTCGTCGGTAATGTACGACCGGCAAAGACGAAAGTAAAGATATTATTATTGTTACACGACACACACCTACATATTAAATGTAATTGTACCTGTGATTGAGACTTCACATCAACCTAACGGCGTAATTTCAGTCTCTTGTAAATAGTATTCTCGCTCAGCATCCCAACACAGTATACAAGGTGGTTCAATCTAGTCTTTTGAACTTTTGATTCACAAAAAAGCATCAAAACAAAAAAACATGGTTGGATAATCCCTTCGGTCACGTCGGTTAATAAATTTTTATTAGAGATAAACAGTATGGTTTGTTTGAGGACATTGATTTGATGGATTCCAAAAATGTCTTCGGCTGTTAAGTCAATTAAAGATCTTGGTATTTTTATAGTTTATCGGAAAAGGTACTAAAGATACCCTGTTTAGGATCAACCGCACCAGTCAAGTGCGAAGGAATTTTTACGACCCCAGGGACCAACTTGATACAATTTTATTTATTAGTCATGTTTATTATAAAATTTGATTTCAATTAATAGGAGGAAGTGTGCCTCAAAAGTAATGTATAAATGCCAGATCAAGACTCCCTTGGTATTGGTCTTGGTATTGCTGTAAGACTCCTTCAAATCGTGCATTTTTTTAACAGATTTTTACTAGACTCATTTTCTACGTAGAAAGTCTTTAAATAAATAGTATTTCAATAATTTAATGTAAATCTCTGTCAATAATAATATGTATTGACTATTTCTATTCCAAATATCTTGAAAACGGTTGGGTTGGCGTCTAAGGCGCGATTCTCACTGTAACGTCCCGCCACCGTCACGTCGCGCCGCCAGCTAGCTGCCGGCCACCACGGTAAATATTCTTAAATGGACAACAAAAAACATATTCACACTACCCGTAACGTCGTCGTCCCGTCGTGGCAACGTCCATCACCCATTTATTTCATGTTATCTGTCGAGACAACGCGGCGGCTCGACGTGATGGTGACGGGACGTTATAGTGAGAATTGTGCCTAAGACGTAAGGTCAAACGTTATGTGTAGACGGATATTAGGAGCACAAGAATAAAATATAACGCAGACGAGTACCGGGATTTAAAGCAAAATAAATATAATAAAGCCCCATCCTCATTATGCGCTGATGCAGTTCGTCAATGCGTCAATTTGCTGCGCCAAAGCGTCGATGCGATGGCTTGTGCGGCGGATCGGCAGAATGTCGGTTTATCAAAAGAAATATCACGAATACAATGGACGAATTTCCAAACGAACTAACGAATCGAATTGACGCATCAGCGCATAGTGCAGTGATGGCAAACCAATGACAATGTCAATATGACACGCAACTTCAAAGATAAAAAATGTCACAATTCAAATATTAGTCTCTCATAACGGCCAGAGTTAGTCATTAATAAAAATATGATTACTTACGCGTTAATAATGATTAATAATTTAATTCCGAAACCAGACGTACAAGACATTCTCTGTGTCGGAGAAATATCTTCGGTATGTTTGAATCTTATGAAACCAGTAGTCAGTGCAATAACATTAAATTAATATGTAAGAAACCTATACCTTTTTATAAAAACGCCGTGATTTATACTGATTTGCTTTTGCAGCCCTGTGATGGAGAATCAAAACAATAAAAAACAGAAGTAGCAGTAGCCGTCCACTTCAAGACATATGGACGAAATGTATGGGATTGTTGAATGAAATAACAGATCCCTATCATTTTTTAAGTCTTTACTTTTGTGATCTGTGACACGCCACAAAAATTATGTTTCGCTTTTTCAAAATGTTGACACACCGAACTCAAAAGGTTCGCCATCACAGACATAGTGAGTATGGAACTTTATAGACAAAATATTCCCGAAAATGTGTCCGCAATACACTGTATACGTAACAATTCCACAATAACACATAATAAAAATAAGTACACTGAATAAACACTAGTTTCTATGAAACTTGCTTCGGGGGACGCCCAGTTCTTCCTGTCGAGATCCCTGGCAACATCCGGGACCATAGAAAAGCGCCGAAAACGACGAGCAAGAGGCGAAAGGCGTCCTTGCGGGCGCAGGGGGGCCTCGCAGGGGGCACGGCAGCGTGGGAAAGAGCGGGTCCCCGCCCCCCTTTGGCCCGGGGCAGGTCACGACTGCTCGGGAACACGATCGCAGCTCCTCGGGCCCGCCGTTCCAATACCGACAGCGAAAATATTCGGACTCGTACCAACGGGAGTCGTATTTTCTATCATACCAGCCATAGCACAAGTTATCAATAGAAAAAACCGCGAAATTACGATTAAAATGTAACATTTACGCGACCTAATCGTCCAAACTTGAATCAAATATCGTTGGGGGCATTTTTTTTAATCTGAAATCACTTATAAAAAAACAACAAAACACCCCGTATATAGAAAGAAGCCTCCCCAAACACAAAATCATAAAAATTTATCTGCGGAAATGCACCATTCTCTTTTTCTCGACCTTAGAATAACTGAATTCATTTGCATGAAACCATGTTCCTGCTTTACATCCCAAACACTTTTCTAAACATAAACACACAAAAACATTCTGCTTCAGTCATCTTCATAAAATAGTGTTAACTTTAGAATAGGTAACTGAAATCAGTTACAAGAAAATATGTTCCTGCTTTGCATTCTTGCAAACACTTTTCTTGTGTAGGTATGCACTTAACCTAGTAGATACTGTAATTTGGACATCAATACCGTATCTAGAAAAAACGAAAATAAACAAAAACGAACCAACAAACCAAAGCAATCACAACACGCTGTAAGCTAAAACGTGCCTGTTTACCAATTCCAACTGCCCAGTGCTTTTCAAATCTTGCTATATTCTATCTTACAATATTTTATCAATAAATGAAAATGGTACGTACGCCTCCGCAAGAAGTTTTTTACCTGTCTATATCTAGAAAAATTTCTAGACATAACAGAAACGTGTTTTTATGTAACTGGTTTCAGCTATTCTAAAGCTAAAAAAACTGTGCATTTCAAAAACTGTGCAAAAAAAATTATGCATTTCCGCAAAAAAATCATGACTTCCTATTTGGAAAGGCTTACAATAAAGTAAATAAACAAGAATGGCTACAAAACTCTTCACTAGGGCAGAGACAGGCAAAAAAGTTCACAGTACAACATTCACGGAAGACCTGAAAAGCAAAGACGGAAAGACAGTCAAAGCTGTAATAGGTCTACTAACAACAGGGAATTTATTGTAAGCTGAATAGGCATATCTAAAGATGATGAGATTGGCGAACGAAGCTATGTGCAGATTCTGTCAATTTGAAGAACAACCTGACAAATGTGCGGTTCTTTGTACTATGCAATGATAGAGCATTGGCCAGATTTTGTAAAAAGGATAGGACTGGAGAATTAACCTAAAGATCAGAAGAGGATCCCAACAGATCTGAAAAGGTCGCAGTGGAACAGGCCGATAGCCACCTTGCCGAATCTAATCTTATCTAACTATATCTCTGTTAAGGATCTATTAAGCTCCCGAAAAAAATCAGATCTACAAAAATTTGAAACTAAAGTTTCAAAAAAGTCTTGTAATTACATAAACACCATGAAAAAAATTGCACAGCTTAAATTTATCAAGTTTTTACTTCAGTACATCTATAGCAGATGTACAATTTTCCCTGGTTTGTCGGTAAATAGTTGTCACAATGTTTTATTTCCTCAGTTTTTGGCCAGAAAATTGAACTCGTTATAGAAACCTAAAACCGCAATTTGGGATGATTTGTTTACATCTAAATTTCAAGTCGGAGTTGATACTTACCTAGCAAACCGTTCCTTATCTTGAATGGTTGGATCGTCATCCATCCTAGCGTATTTGTTAGAGCTGGGGTCGTCTTCATCTGACCTAAAATAATAAAAGGAAACTTATTTCTATTAAACCAAATATAAAAAACGGATGATTAAAAATAATTCTAAACCTAATAGTCAAGGTACCCAAGCAGAGATTTTAGAATATACTCAAGCGCGACAGAATAACATAAGGAGAGAAATCTTGCACTTTGTTAAGCACCACCACTGTACACGTTTTATACAGGGACGTGCGTGTAGGGCACCCACTCAGAGCAGTAAAAAAATGATCGTTAGAAATACTCGAGCGCGTAAGATTAAGTCAAGGTGAGTTAATTTAATTAGATGAAGAAAAGTGAAAAAAGAAAGTGGCAGTCACAAAGTTGCAAACAAAACTTTACTTGGACATTCTCGAGAGTGTATATTTTTCTCATTTTGAAGGAAATAATTCCAGAATCACGGGAATAAAGTTATTTGCCGATTTACATAAGCCGAAGTATCTAAAATCATCCATAAAGTGTAGTGCTCAGAACTATCTGTTTCTAAAGTCAGTCGCCTCCAAATCGTTAGCCTTTTGAATAGCAGCTTCTTTAGGGTTCACTTAACATCCCTTCGAATATCTGATGTAGATTAATATATCTTCGTTATCAGAAACACGTGGGTACATGCACTATTAATATCTGAAGCGCACAAGTATTTCCTTGAGAGATTTTACAATATTATTGAAAACCTGTACACGCTCCCTAAACTTTTTGATTGAAGCCATTAAATTTCTTATTCTCATTCTCATATTTCCAGTACTGTAATATCGTGTATGATGATAGCTTTGTAATTGTAAATTTAATTATCAAGTTACATGCTTGTTGGAATATTATATGACCTGGTTAACAGCTTTAGTTATTAAGCATAACTGAATAACAGTTAACTTACAAAAATTATAGATATCATAAAAAAGCGATTACCGCATTCACACAAACGCGCACGTCAACTTAAAAGCCAAAAACAACACTATTATTCACTAAGCCACACAAAACATTTATTAACAGTTAATTTAGATGCTATGCGGTTTGAATAATTGAGTGTATACCCAGATATGAGGTGGAACTCCCTTAAAAAACTTGTATAACTTTAAAGAAAATGTTATTCTCTTAGTTTTGACCCAGTATATGGATGACCCCTATTTTGGATTACACCCCTATTTGGATGAAAATAAAAAAAGGAATCCTATGGTTTTTAATCTCTGAACAAGAGAAAAAGAATACTCGATAAAAAAATATACCATGTTACTGCACAAACACACGACATAAACAGTACAATACTTGTGACAATACAGTGCCTTTTCTTTTTCGTCGTATCAGTAAATATACAGGGTGTTTTGGCCGATTGTTGTCTGGCCTTTCACAGAAACAACTCTTAATAAGAGTTTGTTCTGTTGCAATTCAACCGCAAAATATCAACACTATTGTTAAAGGATCTGAAGTCGATGATTTGCAAATTTATCGCAATAGCTACTTTCGACAAGCGGTAATATCGCTTTATATGCAAATAATGACATAACAATTACGAAATGAAGATATCTACAACCGTTAAGGTTCCATAACGATCAGGGAAATTATTATTAGACTATCTATGTAGTAGATGATGAACAAGGATAAAACCAAGGTTGAAGGCTTAGGTCCAAAGGTATTCCAAATTTGAATTTCAAATTCTGAATCCAAATTCTGAATTTTATTCTAAATTCTGAATCTACATAAAATTTCACTATTTAATTATTAGTTATTCACTAATTAAAAGGTGTAGAATAAGAAAATATAGACCGTTGTAGTCCTACGTAAACAGTAATGGACGTAGAGGCCTTTTAATTTTTGTCAAATAAAAAAATAGCTGAAAAATAAAGGGTCCAAAAAATTCATTTTCCCATAAAGCCAAGGTACCTAAGCACCCAAAGGTGTGTATATTAAAACCCACATTTTTCCATACATAATACATAATAGTCTTGAAAATTGGCGATTCTCGTCATGCCACCATAAAAGGTGCAGATTAAGAAAATATAGGCCATCGTAGTCCTACGAGAACACTAATAGACGTAGGGGACCTTTTAACCTTCATCAAATTAAAAAAAATACCTGAAAAACAAGGGTCCAAAAAATTAATTTTCCCATAAAGCCAAGCTACCATATTCAAAAGTGTATATGTTCTGAATGAATCTACATTATAAAATTTTCCACAAATTCTGAAATTTTCATAATTTTAGGACTATGTTTACTATATCTTTCTGAGACCTCTCTTATTAATTAAAAGGCCTACAATAATAAAATATAGACCATTGTAGTCTTAGAACAACAGTAATAAATATAAGGAACGTTTTAACCATCATCAAAACTAGCTCAAAAAGAGAGATATAGAACACTACTCAAAATCAAGTGAGCAACATATTTAGGTTTAATTATTTTAGTAACTTCATTTATACAATTTAATGGAAATGCGACATTATAATAAGAACAAAAGCTAAGAGGACACAATGAGCTCGGCCAATATGAATTTTCTAACCTAAATACTCGAGTAGAAAGTACGCGGTTGTGTACACAAATTACGAGCATCGAAACGATTCAAGTTTGAAATTTAGACACATCTTGATCTAGTTTAGCGCGTTCCCACGCCCACGCGGCATAATTCACCATAACTTTTATTTCAAACGAAGAAAGAGCAACCTATCTCTATCTGTATCTTTGTAATAACTCCATGGGCGGACACAATGGAATAATATATTATCTAGTTTCAACAATAATTTTACAACTTATGTAATAGGAGCTCGCCGCTGAAAGATACGATGGTACTCCATCATTACTTATGTCGTTTCTATCTGTTAAGTTTATTGTTATCATAAAACACTGGGCACGGAATTTCAAATAAAATAAGTCTGGTTCGAAAAGCTGATCAAAGATCTTAAGCCCCGTTTACATATAACATTTTACCTGTTCAGTCAAAAGCGTATTAACTAAAACCTTGTGTGTAGACGAAAAACCGGTCCGTTTTACTTAAACTGAATTAAGAAAAAAGACCGTCTAAAGAATTAAATAAATAATTCAGTTTTAAACGCCCTCTACACTATGCGCGAAATAGGCCGAAGTATGTAAAGGTCTAACAGTGAAAGGGGTTATACCGTATTTCCTCGTGTATATCGTATTATTCCGTATTTCTTGTGTCGTACGACCGTCTTGAGAACCGTCGTCAGTTTTACCTGACATGCAATACTGACAGGTAATACGTTATGTGTAGACGGTACTTTATTAAAAAAATGTACCTATCTATTTTTATTTGTGTGCCTATTATAAAAGAAAATCAAATATAGTGTCATAAGACCTACAACATATGTATATACCGGGTGCGTCTCAAAAGTGGCTCACCCCCTATAACTTTTTTATTTTTTCAGATAAAAAAACGAAATTTGGTATGTTAGTATATGACATAAATTAGGATTGAATGACGTATTCACTTGTTTTTAGTCACTTCCTATTTCACCGGAAATGACTACAACTTTTGATTTTTAAATAGCACCGTCGGTATTTTTTTACTTTATTCGATAGAAAATGACATTCTGAATAGAATGACTATCATATGTCAATTTTTGACATTCTCGCTTAATAAAAAATTGTATTTTAAAATTCAATCTAGAGTACCATGGCTATGTTAAAATCACTAATTCTTAATCAAGGAGCCTTGGAAAAATAGACTTGATCGTCTAATGTTTTTAGTGTCTTGTCCTGGCCAGTTAGAAAATGTTCAACCCGTATTTTTAATCATATCTCAGTTTTTTCAAATGGAACGAGGGTGGCTCATTAGCATATTTGGAAAAAGCATTTTTTAACGAATAATTTGGTACCACACACTTGGTATTTCGAAGTCAAATTGTCGTTATGAACCCCATGTTACAATTTCAAATAAACCATATTCGAAAATGTCAAAAGTTGTCATATGATATGTCATTCTATTCAGAATGTCATTTTCTATCGAATAAAGTAAAAAATACCGAGGGTGCCATTTAAAAATCAAAAGTTGTAGTCATTTCCGGTGAAACAGGAAGTGACTAAAAAGAAGTGAATACGTCACTCAATCCTAATTTATGTCATATACTAACATACCAAATCTCGTTTTTTTAACTAAAAAAATAAAAAAGTTCTTGGGGTGAGCCACTTTTGAGACGCACCCGGTATATATAAAATATATTACAAATAATCCAGGAAACCAAAAATATCTTTTAAATCGCCATTTTAATTTAAGAAAAAAATAGAGAAAGGACTGGCAAAATGCTGATGACGCAACTGACATTTTGCATCTCTTTCAAAGCCTTCAATACTATGTGGAAGTCTACCTTGTATTGAGACGATAATAATTCAAATAATTTATTGAAATCCTTTGGCATTTGCGTGCAAGTGAAAAAATAAGACAAGTTTTTTAATAATTTCCGACAAATAATATGCATCCAAAGTGGATTTTATTATTCTAAATAAATTCCCTAAAGATAATAAACAACTTGTTAAAAATAAGTACTATTTTTTTATCGTTAATTTATACAGCCGAAAGCAATAGATTTAAAACTTTATGATTGTTAGAGCAACAACAAATTACACTTGATTTCTTTCGGATAATTCAAATAATATAAATTATACATTACATGCAATCAGGCATACAACATTGATTATTTTTCAACGCTATTACCTAGGATTTTAAATTCTTCCATATAGTAATTATTTTAATCTTACTGCATCACTTTTTTTCCTTTTAATTACTTCTCATACAAAAACCAGAAAAAAATTCCGTAGTGCTAATATTAAAAAAAAACAATAAATTATTTTCTTTTGTAACTTGATACATTCTGTCAATCACAGTAGATGATTTACTACCGTCTTAACACACATTGTATAGTCATAACAAGGTTTATTACTATTATAAATCTAAAGAAGCAGTAGCTAACATCAGCTAATACCCTGAACCATTCAGACAAGCTATTCAGTATTTTTCTTTAGGTTCCTTTCCGAAAAAAAATCCCTTTCTTCA